CTGATTACTTGGTTGATTACTTCACCAAATTTGCACCATAAGATAATTTGCTTTCCTGTTAATTCTGACAAACACTCCATACTTGCATAGAAATAGAAATATAGATCTGCAATTTTCAAGTGACACCCTATTGTGAAACATGACGCTGCCACAATGTGAGAGTGAACTTTCAAACCCAAAGGTGTTCAGGCTTTCTAATCGCATGAGAGTAATTCACTAGAGCCATATCGATTAGTTGATCAAATGAATCAGTAACAATTTTGATAATCTCTTCACACTTCAAGCAAAAATGCCAGAAACTCACTGGTTCCAGCTTCTATAATAGTCTAATACTCTTCTGTGATAATAAACTAAATATTTTTTTGGATTCAGATAAAACAAGCAATTTGAAGACATGACATTGGGCTTTGGAAAATTGTGATTTTATGTTAATGCCGAAGTAATAGTTAGTTGCAGCCCTAGATTAGTCACAGGCATTTAACTTGTTTTCAATCATTTTGCTTTCAATTTACTATTAGATTAAGTGACTAATGTTTTGAGCAATTGTCCTGAGAACCAGCGGGTCCTCTTTCTTCTTTCAATCATCCCAGTAGTGTTTTTTATTCTTTTTTTTTTTAACCTAAAAATGCCCTTTTCCTCTGTGCGTAGGTGAGAAATGTCCAGTTCTGTCTATGGGAACGGCAGTGGGCAACAGTGATGTGTGGTTCCGCTTCAACGAGGGCATGTCCAACGCTGTCAGACGAAATGTCTACATCAGAGAACTACTGTAACCCCCGAAACACACACACACATATAACTGCTTCAGTAACATCTGTATTTCTTTGTCCTGTGTTAAATCCGTCTGAATAAATCCAAAAATCCAGCTGTTAAATTCAAAACAGTCTTTTATTTTGATTGACAGTGTAAAGAGCCAATAAAAACATGTTGTTGTTGAACATTTCCCAGCAGTCCCATCAAAACAAACTCTAGAAAGCTACTCAGTGCTGTACACTCACACAGTAGTCTTCACATAAATTAAAAAGCATTCAGGAGTCTCCCAATAAATAAACATGGTAACAGCAATAGTGTGTGTGAGAGAGAGAGTTAGTTCAGCATGAAGGAGTATGGGAGTGCATGATTATGTCGTTTTTATGCATTTGTGACAGTGTGTGTGTGTGTGTATGTGTGTGTGACCATTAGAGGATCACACACTTGCCCTTCTCTACCCAGGGGTTGGCTCTCATCAGCTCAGGGTTCAGAAATGGATCTTCACAAACACAACCCTCGATCCACTTCACCAGCCTGCCAAAAAAAATAACAATACACACACCGTCAGCATGAATCTGATATGCGATACTTAGAGAGAGAGAGAGAGAGAGAGAGAGTGTGTGTGTGTGCGTGCGTGTGGACAATACACACTCGGTGACAGTGATGGAGGATTTCTCTCTGTTGATTGCCAGCTGATACTGAAGGCTTTCCACTTCTCTCCTCATCTGTGGGACGTCTAACTCCTCCATGATGCTTCTGCTGTTCGGACACACAGAACAGATTGAAGCTCGAGCTGATTTAAGAGTTCGGGCACACAGCGTCACATCAAAACTTGGTGGAAATAAAAATCAGACGTTTTGTTGTGAAAAGTGACACTGAGTTCTGCGGTCGAGTTCAGCAGCAGTAACATCTTTTAATTAGTGCATTCGACAGAAATTTTGCTTTCTCTTGAGTAGATACGTGACTTAAGTTTCACTTTTGGAAAGACGAAAATAGAGCAGAATAAACTGCAGTTTTTATTGCACAATCAGGATGTCAATATACTTCAGTGGTTCCAAACCTTTTTGGCTTGTGACTCTTTAAAACAAAACTGTATTTTCTTCTTGTATCTGCAAATGTCTACTGGATGTGACCACTTCACGCTGATTTCTCTTCACTTTATTTGAATAAGTTTAAGATGTAAAATAAGAATAAGCAGATGAAAAGTTAGTCTGAAAAATGCTTGTTTCAATGACCGTGTGAAGCGGAAATATTTTTTTGTTTTCCTCTCTTGTTAGGTCATATTTGTGACCCCTTGGTGGGAACAGCTGCTCTCTTTGATAGATTTGACAATATCTGAGAAAACCTTATAGACCAGATGGTTGCCTCCTTGGAGACCTTATTAGGACATAAATGTATAAATATAATAATAGTTACTGTCAACATGATATGTTGACCCATTAATTGAGACCACATCTAACTTGCTGTGAGTAGTTCACAAAAAAGCAATCTTAACCACTCATGTAAAGCATCAGTGCTTCCACTAGTGAAGGACATTCTCTTATTTTTTCTTCCATAGCTGAGCCCAGTAGCTTTTGGCAAACTATATTCAAAAATTAATACATATGTCAATTTATTTGGGGACTATTTTCACATGTGGATGTTCTGTTATTGGTGCTCCATTATTTAACGACAGCAGGTTGGTGTATGTGTGATTGACTCAAAATAAACAACCCATGATCATCGCAATGAAGGAACATGTCAGCCCATGTAACGGTGTGAAATTTAGTAAAGTAATAGGACACAAGTGTTAAGCAGCAATGTATTGAAGCATCAAAAGTAAAAATACTCATTGAGAAGAGTATTAGCGTATTATACGGTATGTCAAAGGTTGTCGTTGGTCCCCTTGGAAGTTAAGTCAAACCGCTTTTTTATGCTTTTGTTAGTTTTATCTATAGCACTGAAGCCTATTACAGGAGCATATAATATGTGCCATATGTAAAGTATTTATATATGCATAATATACACTCGGTTGCTAGTTTATTAGGTTAGCTAAAACTAATGTAGTCTAATACAACATTCCTGCAATAAATCCTACCTTCATGCAGTTTAAATTGCATTATACAGACAGGTGTTTCTATCATTTTGCCCTCCTATCAATGAGGGCAAGCTAAACAACACACTCACCTCTCTGTAAAATGCAAAACAGCTGAACAGCACTACATTCTCGAAAATGATCATAGTGTTGAATCAACTTCTCTCTAAACCAGCTTCAACAAAAACTGAACCTTCATGAAGGGAGGATTTATTGCAGGACTGTAGTATTACACTGCTTTAGTTTTTGCTGGGTGTACCTAATAAACTGGCAGCCGAGTGGATACTGACTGTATTTTTGCAGAGTGACTAGTTACTGTCATAAATGTATTGTAGTATCAAGTTGCACCATGTCAAAGGTATTTGTACTCTACTGAAGTACAGTAGCTACTCGAGGAAATCCAGTTTGTTTTTACATCGCTGGCTCCTTCAGTAACTTCGGTCACTTCAGTGCGCCGGCTGCATTTGCTGGCTTTTATTTCTATTTCTTTTAAATTCTGCCCCACCCTGCCACAGCAGGAAGCGAGTGAGGGCCCAGATGAGAGTTCAGGCCGACCATGGATCAGTTTAGTCCTCCCTATTGGGAACTGCCTCCCTCCTCCTCCCCCCACCACCTCCTCCCCCCCCACCACCTCCTCCCCCCTCATCCTCTTCATCGTTTTAATGGATCTAAGTAAGTCGCCTGCACGGTGCCTGTTTCCTCCACCAGCATCCATCCTGCTGGAGCCAGCTGTTCCGTGAAAATGCCTTCATCATTTAATTATATGGTCATCTAAATGCGTTACAGTGACATCAGTCTCTATCACTCAGCAATCAGGGACATTTCAGGCTACTGATGACACATTTACAGTAAATTAAATCGCATTTGACATAAACATCAGTGTGTAGGAGGATAATGCCGAGTATAGCTGGTCATTGTGTACCTAAAACATCCAAACAGCAGTTCAAACGCAGATGTATCGTGATTAGATGTGGATGGAAACGCATTAAACCCACCCCCCGCACAAACAACCGCTCTTACCGTCAGGCCTACCGGAGAGGACCGCTGGTCGATTTTGTGTGCAGCCGGCTGGTGGAGAATGCAAACGGGGCTTTGACAGCGACAATAACAGCTGAGAGTCGGCGGAGTTTCCCTGGCAGAGGAGTCCGGCTTCAGTGCAGGAGGAGGAGGAAGAGGAGGAGGGAGGAGGCTGCGTGTGTGTGTCGGCAGTCCGCTGCGCAGGGCACTCCCCTGCGCTCCTCTCTGGTAGCGACTGGATGCGGGATGCGCAGGGCGGAGAAAGGAGCCGCGCCGCCTGGTTTGACAGTCAAACGAGGGCTGGAGCTGAGGACGCACCTGTATGGAAATCCGGACACGCGCCGAGGCTGAGCAGAGGCAGGAAACACGCAAATGAGGACGGGCTCCGAAGGGAAAACAGCCCGGGAATTAATTTTAATTTCTGGTCACATGACCAGAGCCAATGTCGGTTTGTGTGTTTAGATTCTCCAGAGATCCCCAAGTAAAACGAAGAAATGTGAGGTTGAAGACCAAACATGTCCACAATGATACTCCAGTTTATATGGTTTTGGTTTCTAGATGACTTATTTTTCGTCAGACCACTAAGTCAAACTTTATGGGATCCAACATTTATATTGCATCCGCTTTAGCACTGAGCAGTATAAACTACACATGGTGCCTGCTTCTTCCTTCTTCCTATTGTTTTGGTTATTCTGTGGGTCAGGGTTTCAACCCCGTTTCAAAAGTCAGCAAGTGTGTCAAAATACAGGACTGGAACTCACTTTTCCTGGCAAACTGGCTAGTGTTTTATAATAGGGCCAAATAAAAAAACCCAAAAACAAAACCTTTAAGTTGTCCTATGAACCTCCAATTTCAATTATGACCATTTGAGAAACAATTCTTCAGTTACATATGAATAGTATGTAAGCACATCTTTTCAGCTTAAACTTACACTTAATTTCACATCTAAAAAGGAAGGGGAATGTCTTCTGATGTGGTGAACATCAACTCTAAGCCACTGGTGAAGTTCAAATATAAAAACTTATTAAAAATCAAATTGACATGCAGGTCTGTGGCCAGCTGGATCAAAATTTGGTGCCAAAGTTATTTTATGGTTGGCATGCTAGACTATTGGGCCAAAAGTACTACGGTTTTCTTGAATCACAACAGATCATTCAGAAAATGTTTCCAACTCAGTTACTGTTTATTCGACAAATACAAGTCAACAGTTTGATGCAATAGCTTCAATATTAAACCATATTACACACTGTAGTGTCTTCATTCAGGCTTGTTCCTTTAGAACAACAACAGCTTTCTGGTCAGTGGTGACATTGGGGGAAAAAAAAAAAAAAAAATTGGTGTTTGGGCACCTGAAAGAGACAAATGCAGATTAGACTAAAACAATCTGTGACAAACAGAAATATATCCTCTGTAGCCTCAGGTTAAGAGTTGGAATCAGGAGCAAATAGCTCTCATACGAGGTGTCAGAAAATGATTATTTGTCATCATTGGCTGTATCACACATGTGCAACACACATGCACAGACTTACCTTTAAAATAAAAACAAGATCACCAGCATCATCATGAAGAGGCACTTTCCCCATCGTTGTGTCATGAATCAACCTGTAAGCGAGAGTAGCTCGTTTTAATTCACATAAAGAAAACAACGTGTACCCACATTTACTGTTGGAGCCTCAGAAAAAAGTTAGAATCAGGAGCTGGAGTTCAGCTCTCATAGTAGGTGTCAGAAAAGTTTTGATTTTTGTCATCACTGGCTACAAGTCCTCAAATGTAAGTCACTTTGGATAAAAGCATCTGCCAAATGAGTAAATGTAAAATTATTCAAATGCCAACGTGGTGCAGAAACTCACCAGCTCTCAAATCCGGCAAAGGTCCTGGTCAATAAGAACTTCGATCTCAGGACCTTGGATCTTTGTTCAGAAGCTCTGAAGTTTTCAGTCTTCGCATTCTTACCCCAACAGTCCGAACTGTTAAGAGAAAGTGGAAACTTAAGGAAGTGTCACAGTTTGAGGTGAAGACTACACAATACACTTCAGAAGCCTCAGGGGGAAAAAGTTAGAATCAGGAGCTGGAGTTCAGCTCTCATAGTAGGTGTCAGAAAAGTAATTTGATTTGTCATCACCGGCTACAAGTTACTCAAATGCCAACATGCTGCAGAAACTCACCAGCTCTCAAATCCAGCGAGGTCCTTGTCAATAAGAACTTCGATCTCAGGACATTTGTGTAGCCAGTTCTGAGTTTCAGTCTTCTCATTCTTAAAGAGAAAGTGGAGAAATTAAAAGAAAAAAAAAAGTTAAAGAAAAGTCACAATTTTGGAGGTGAAGACTACACTAATGGGGTGGGGGGGGGGAGCCTCAGAAAAAAGTTAGAATCAGGAGCTGGAGTTCAGCTCTCATAGTAGGTGTCAGAAAAGTTTATTTTAAGTATGTCATCATAGGCTGAAACAGTTTCACATGCTTAAATATGAACTCACACATGGCAAGGCATTCAACTTTGATCCCAGTGCTCACCCTCAAGTGTTGGGAGATTTAATTCAGGTAGCTCCCGGGCTCCTCTGTGTACCAGCTTCAGCTGTATATGTAAAGTGGATTAAAAAAAAAAAAGTAACCACGTTGAATATTTAGGCATACCACCTTCATATCCTTTATTTGTTCATATTTCAGTAACTCGCCTCTTGTTTTTTACCCGTGGTCGCCACCCGCAAAACACATTAAGTTTCTTCATCTCAACTGCCTTGAAAGTCATCCAGGTGCCGACGCCAGCCTCCATGTAACTTACTGAAAAAGAGAAAAGGTCAGCTGAGGAATAAATATTAGATCTTGAACACAAGTTTAATTAGCTGGACCTTTGAGATTTTACGTCTACTTAACTACATACGGGAACCAAGTTAGGGCTGAAAATGTGAATGAAGATCTAACTTCGCATAGACTTGTTTTGTAGGTCAATGTAAGAAAGAGTACATTACTTTTGACTGTTTCAGAAGAGGAAACACGGCGTGGTGATCCGTTTGGTCTCTGGCCCGTGCAGAACAGCCACGTGTTGGTGACCAGACCAACGTGGTATTAAGTTGGTTCACAATAGCGTTAATACTCACATGTTTGACTTTTCTCTGGTAACCGATTAGTCTTCTTCCAGAGACACCGAACCGCCCGGTTCATCTCTGTTGCCGTGAGGTAAAGTTAAAGATAAAACGGGGTTTCGTCTCTCCTGCCATGCTGCCAGAACTAAGTGACTGCACCAGAGGTTAATATAAACCGCTTCCGTCCAACGGGAACCCGAAGCCTCTCCCCTTCCTGGGCTGGCTAGCTACATACAAAGCTGGCTAGTTTCGTTTGTCGGACTTTCTGAAAAGTGATTATGGGATTATCTGGCTATATTATATGCGTATCGGTCCCCCATTAATGTACTGGACAATGCTATCTGAACAACGAGTCGTTTTAACTAAGATAAAAACAGCACGATGCAGAAGCCGCCTTCTTCTTCAATTCGGCTGACTCGACGCATCGATGGCGTTTTGCTGCCCTCCACTGTTCGGCTGTCGTTCTTCTTCTTTTGGTTTATGGCGGTTGACATCCAAAATGTTGCACTACCGCCACCTACTGGATGAAATAGTTTCTCCAGTGCAATAAATTTACAGTGCCCACCTTACATTGTGCTGACCCCGCGTGGTGATTTCCCGCACAGTGAAGGCACTTTGCTTCTTCTTGCTTCTCTTCACAGTCCTCTCTTTCACATTTGTTCTCCCCACATCTCCCGGATCTTCTGACTCCTCTACATACTGCAGCCACATGTCCATATTCCTGACAACTGAAGCATCTTAATGGAGCTCTTTGATAAGGCCTCACCCTGTAACATATGTAATCTAAATATACCCTCTCTGGCAAATCTCCCTCAAAAGTCAAACACACAGAATTACTTTGCTCCATTTCTCCTTGTTGGAATCTTGTAAGTCTTCTCGCCTCACACTCGCCTTCAATACCGTGAAATTCCTCATCTTCCACTGACAGCGGTACGCCGCTTATCACTCCTTTCTTTTTGATTTCAGAACCAAGTGGGAAGCATTTCAAACTGCTATAATCTCACCGTGATATGGTGCAGAGTCTTGAAATCAGGATGGTTCTGGTATCCTTAGCAATATTTGGGGTTTAACAAATGTCTATGTAACGTTACATATTGCCCTACTTACTCATTTCTATACATTTCATGAAAAATGTCTGAAAAATGACAAAAACCATGGTTATTAGAGAGTTGCTTGTGATAAAGGTAACCCACTGGAGTCAGGGTGTTTTACTAGGGATGTGTTATTCTAATAGGCTTTGTACTGCAAAACATATACAAGTCTGCTGGATATGAAACATTATGATGACACTTTCTGTCTTTGTGCTTTACTTCTGCATCATAGACAGTAATAATTATTTGTAAACCATCCAGTAACTGCTCATGCATTGTCTTAAAAAGAAATGTGGATACCCCTGCCCACTTTTGATCTGTGGCTTTTTTTTGTTTTTTTGGGTTAGGCCCTTTAGTTCCAGCTGAGATAAATCTGCTGCAGCATACAATGATATTTCAGACATTACAGAAGCAAGGATTTTAGAAATACTGATGTCCAGTAGAGATTATAGCCACCAACCAAACCCTATACAATTTTCGGAGCATTTAAAAAGCCAGTAAATGTATTTTTCTTTCCAATTATGTTTTCTGTAAATGCTATCTCTGTACACAATAGTCTAATAGGGGTGGTGGTGGCGCATAGATAAGATGCTTGCCTTTGGTGTGGGAGACCTTCAATTCCCGCTGTGAAACATCCACCATTGTGTCCCTGAGCAAGACACTTAACCCCTAGTTGCTCCAGAGGCGTGCGACCTCTGACATGTATAGCAATTGTAAGTCGCTTTGGATAAAAGCGTCAGCTAAATGAATAAATGTAAATATTGTATTTATACTAAACTGGAAACATCAAATTGCCATGGTTTGTGCTGGGCTCTGCAGCGGGTGATGTAAAATGCCCAGAACTCCTCTGCCGAGCATCACTGAGGTGCCTGCATGGTGCCCAGAGAATAACAATACCCACCCAGCCACAGCTTATTCACCCTGCTGCCGACTGGCAAGAGAAATATCCACTCCCATATCACTGCGCTCCAGAGCAGCTTCTTTTCCCAGGCTGTGAGACTTTTAAATTTCTCTGAACTCCATCAAAATGATTAGTTTTTTGTTATGTTTTACTCTGTGTTGTTTGTGAATGGGTAGCATAAAGGGACAGCAACCGTAAATATGGTATTACAAACTTGGATACCATTTCTCTATACTTCCATGTATGTAATTCTAGTAAAAAACTCCCTTTTAATTTATTTACTTTTTTTGCCAAAAACTGTCTAACACTATAGTCTTGAAAAATCCCATTACATGTAATATATGTAGAATGTAAAATCCTTGACATGACCCTGCTCTATGCAATGGTAGCCACAGCCCTGAAAGTGGCATCCCAGATTTGTAGTTATAGTCTGGGGAAGGCCTTATTGCCCAACATCACCAAAGCTATTGTGGGTAAGTGGAAGCAAATCCCCGCAGACAGGTTCCAAAATGCTATGGAAAGCCCTCCCAGAAGAGCGGAGGAGTGTCATTCATAAAAAACTGGGGTTGCTGAAGAGGAAGAGTTAATAATTTCTGACTGTTCCTGCGCAAATGCGATATAAAAGAACCACAGTTAAAGAGTCATGTAAGGTTTAATTTATACATTTATTCTGATCACAGCTGTACAGGAATGCATCGTCACAGCAGAAAACACAACCTAAACCCAACCATGGCACAACAGCCGTCACAACACATCCAGAACTCAACCATAAATGTACAGGCTCAATCAGCTCACCTCAATTCAATGTCTATAATTATCATCATTATTATTGTTATTCACATAGAACCATCTGTCTCTCAAATATATCTTTGTTTTCAAAGAGCATAAAAATACAAGTGGACTCTTCATTGGGATGAACACTGGTGGTTGATCCTCTGTCTGGCCTACATGGGGGACCACTGAAAACTGGGGAGCCGAGGAGGAGCAGAGCCAATTTTTCACAGCTTACAGGAGGGCGCTTATATGGGCTCGTACAAGCCTTCTCAATGGTTACAGGAGGACTGCAGACAGGGTGATTGACTTTAGGGATCAGGACTTCAGGGATATAGGACTCACAAATCAACCTATAAGCTACTTTTGACATCACACACACACACACACACACACACACACACACATAAGGAGTTTATAAGGAACCAGAAAAAAAACCCATAAAACATTTTATGAGTGGAAAACAAGAAAAAAATTTTAAATATATGAAAGAACACTACCAAGGCACAGAGAGATGCAGAGATAACAAAAAGGACACAGAGGGAGATAAAAAGGGGGAAAGACAAGATGGAAGGTAGGCAGATTAGAGGCAGTTTTACTAACCAACACTAGAGGGAGCTCTAACAGCTCAAATACCAAGGTATATTATAAACTCTATGTTTACTGGATGTATACTATATAAAGCATTGAAATATAGGATTATCTTTTAAAAACACTGTTCACTGCAGCAGGACAAAGGGTTACACCGCATGAGTGTGCTTGTATATATGTGTCTTTGCATGTAAATGTGTGTATGTATATGTGTAGATTCATTTCCAAGCAAACCTCCATAGATGGAGCTAAACACCAACAAAGCAGAACACCAGCGAGCTCACAACCGATGTGATGTGAATCTGCGTGTGTGTATATTTTTGTGTGTTCTAGTGTCTCAAAATTCATGGACACACATCTATTATCGTCGCTCTGATCATTAGAATAACTACTGTACGAGTGGGAGGACATTGACATGAGCATCAGCAGGGACTACACACACTCGTAACGACAACAACGGCAACAATAACAACAGCAACAACAACAGCAACATGAAGAGAGACAACACACAAGTCAGGGAGTCCGGCTAACCACAATCCTCCACTCATACAGAAGAGAAATTGAGGCCCCGATTCATCTGGAAAAATGCATCCCTTTGACATCGCAGGAGTGAGACAGACTCAGAAAGCAGCCTGTCTTTCCATGTGCTTTTAAAAATTCTCTCCGGTATCTTATCTGTATGCATCTTTTCTATATATCTAGATGTCTATCTTCCCGTCAGTCAGCCAGTTTATGTGCTTATTTTTGCAAGCAATATGCTTATCAGTCTGTCTCCCTGTCTGACTGAGTTACCATCTCTGTCCTAGCCAGAGTCTGTAGAGATAAAAGGATGAGGAAAATGATTGTGCTTCTCGATCCACGCAGCCGAATGAGGCTGGGCGGCGGCGACTCGCTTGGCTGCAGAGGTCAGAGGTTGTGTGGGAGCGGCCTCCTCGCATCGGGAGGCGAACTAGAGCTACCGCACCAGACGAGGAGGACTCCCTCCTCAAAGTACTGTACAAGGCTACATGAGAAGCGCTCACGCAGGAGGGACACACGCTCAAGCACACACGCACACACGCTCTCAGCGCGCCAGCATCGAGCCTTGGGAGAGCTTTCTTGATAACACCTACACATGATGGGGGGAGAGGGAGAGGGCTTGCAGGGAGTGAGGCGTGGGCAGGAGATCAGTCGAGCATTGCATCCAATTGGTCTGCCAAGTCGTCAAACATGCTGCCGATGTCGTCCAAGATGGAGACTGTTGTCTTCTTGCTGGAAAGAGAGCTGGGAGATGGATAGCAAAAAAGGAAGATGTTAGCTGATAATGAGGCAGACAGCACAGTCACAGTAGTGGATCAGAGGTGTGAAGGGGAGGGTATTTGGTATTTTTCCACATTGTTAATTAGCATTTTAAAGATCTCTTTTAATGATAACTGCAATGCTCCTCAACATAGATACAGGATTCTCCTGGATACTAACAATACTTCAGACCTGCAATAACTGACTTTTTTATTCACAGTTACGGAGCAACATCATCATTCATTCATTCTTTGTTCATCACTACAAGCAACACCTTTCACATTGTCACATTGTTTAACCATTGTCATTTGATATATAGCTTTTAACTGTAGTTACATTCAGTCATTTTCTCTACAGTAGTAGCAGTTTATATTGGTAGTGGCGCAGCCATTCCACGCTGGAATAAGATTGCCTACCTTAGTACAAGGGATGCACAGCATGTAATCCAGTGCAATTTGATCTGATTTATAACTGCCTCAATACTTACTGTTCACTCTCAGAGCTGTATTAAGTCCTGCCATTACAGGAAATGCAATGACCTTGTTTGGTTGGGCTGTAAAGAGATACACCGGTTGCTGTTCAAAGTGTTCGCTGTAGAATTAAAATGCACTTGCTCTAACTATGGCAACCCAGTTTATTTGTCAAATGCACCAGAACTGAAACCTTAAGCACTGCAATACTAAGTTTATGTCATGGCAACCAGCTATAAATACTCCAACCTTGTTTCCGTCTGTTTGTTTTGATGTAAGGCTCCAAAAAACTACAGTACACATCAGCCTTAGCAACCATAGCTATGGTAAATGATGCCAGCCAGAGGCCACAAATCAGAGCTGTGATAAATTTAATACAGTTTATTGTTGTTTACAGAATTCAAAGTGAATGAATGAGTCTCAAAACACTGGATGTTTTATCAGATTTCTTCAAAGGCTTCAGCTGGCTTTAAACTCTGTTTATGTTTCTTTCCTTTTTTTCCCTCATTCGCTTTCTTTCTGAATGTGAGATTAACTTGTTACCAGATATGATTGTTGAGCACATGCTTTTGTTTTGGTCAAATATGCATTACAGCCTTGCTAATAGGCAGCGTGAAAAATAAGATTTAGAAAAACTAAATATAAGGAATAGAAATTCTAAATATGGAAGTATATGTAAACATTTGCAATGTTTCACATGTCACACTTTTAAGTCAAACTATAGATTAAAATTGTATACATTTTATACATGCTTCTTTTTTCTTTAAGGTTATATGTACACAAGAGAGCATCATGTCCATCCCAGCATTGGAGGCGCTGCAACTGCCAGTCACCAAAACATGTGCATGCATAAGATGAACAGTACATTCATTTTCATAACACTCGACGCCTGAAACAAGTCTTCTCGTTTTGCATCACGACATTGTGTGAGGAAAGCTAATTTATGCACTGATCCTCTCATCATCAACTTTGATGCCAACAAGTTGTCCCGAGAGATTATTGTTGGATAGAGATGGTACATTCTGTGGCAAAATCTGAAGATTAACTTCATAAATACTCACTCGTTTTGTGCGTCCTCCTCTTTCATTTTATGTTCTACAGCCTGCACAGCTGCCGCCAAGGAGGCACTGGTCTCCTCCAAACGATGCCGCACCTCCTCCTCCTGCTCTTCTTCCTCTACGTGACCCTCCACCTCTCTCAGATTCTCTTCCTCTGCTCTCTTTTTCTCCTCCTCCTGCTCCTTGTGCCTCTTGTGCTCCCTCTCTCTCCTCCTCTCCTCTTCCTCTCTCCTCCTCTCCTCTTCCTCCTCCACCTCCCGTCCTCCCAGCAGGTCGATGGAGAGGCCGGCGATGGAGGAGCGGGGAGGTTTGACAGGGTGTGGAGAGGGGGTGGAGGGACTCTGGGCCGGAGAGGGGGAAGTAAGAGGGAGTCCCGGAGAGAGGGAGGGAGCAGAAGGGGTGTCAGGAGCTGGAAGGGGGGCGGTAGAGGGAGGAGAGGAGGGTTTGGGGGCCGGGGTGGGGCTGCCTGCAGCTGGGCTGGTAGCAGCAGGACTTGGGCTCACGGTAGCTGAAACTACTATTGCTTTGCCTGGTTTGGGTGCTGTTGGAGGTCCACGGGGTTTTGGGGACACAGGAGGAGGGACACGCTTCGGCTCTGATCAGAGAGAGTCAGAGAGAATGCCGTCATTAGTCACTCACACATACACAAGACCTGTAGAGGACTGGTGCTGGATGAAGATCATTTTTGGTCAAAACGTCACCATAAATAATCAATAAATAGCAATCTTTATATTAAAATTATTTATTTTTACCTTTCTCAACCTTTTTCCACCCAGACTTTCCCCAGGTGACACTAGCAGTGCAGAACCTTTAATTACTATTTTTTTAATCAGAGATAATTCATTTTGGCAACAGAAATTGACACAATCTGGTCAAATCATCAAGATACCATTTCAAGGCAAATCTATAAATAATAATATAAACAGAAAAGAAAAGCATTAAGTCCATCCATCATCAACCGCTTATCCTGCGTACAGGGTCGCGGGGGGGGGGGCAAATATACTAAACATGATCATGTTTAGCATATTTGCTAGAAAAAATAATTTAACCATTTATCGATTAACAAAATGGTTGCAGATTTATTTCCTGTTGATAGACTAATTGACGAACTATTTCAGCGCTAGTTTTTCACAAAAGGTGTTAAGATCGCTTTAAAGCTCTTACGTGGGCCAAGTTAAGAAGTATACAATATAATTGCAACATCCCTGGTTCAACTCCAACTGGGGCCCTTTGTTGCATGTCATCCCCCTCTCTCCCTGCATTTCCTGTCTGTATCGCTACTACTTTAATAGCGATATATAGTTTCTATCACCTTATAAATATCGCTAAGATAAAACTTATCTTAAATGCCAGAGATACGGAAACGGTTAGACATGCTTTTATTTCATCTCGCCTGGGCTATTGCAACAGCCTGTTCTCATGTCTAAATAAAACCCTGAACCGTTCTTATCTATATGTTCTTATTGATTACTTTTAAAGCTCTTAATGGCCTTGCTCCAGAATATATTCTTGACCTATTAACCCCTTACGATCCTGTGCGCAGCCTGAAAACTAGAGGAGATAGAGCCTTTGCCTGATGACATCAGGATGTCGGAGTCAGTGTCTTCTTTTAAGTCTCGCCTGAAAATTTAGTTATTCTGGAAAGCGTTCACTGATTTTATCTGATAGGCTAGCCCTCTTATTGTTTTAATTTCATTTTAATTTGTGCATGTTATGTCGTATTTTATTGTTGTCGTTTTTAACTGTCATGATTTTAATGTTTTTATCTTCTGTGAAACACTTTGTACTCTGTTTTGATAAGTGCTCTACAAATAAAGTTATTATTATTATTATAATTGAAAAATTGTAATAATATATATATTATTATTATTATTTTTATTATTATTAAATAAAGGCAAAATGCCAATTAAATATCTAAAAGACACTGTGGCAGAAATGCAGCTTAATATTCCCACTCTTCAACAACACAGTTTCAACACAAGGACACTGATGTTGAAGGGCTAAAAGGCACCACATATCACTGCTTATTTCACAAAAATTAATACCACCAGAATACTTACATGCTATGATCGCATTAAAAATCTACACATTGACAGACAACTCTGACAAGGAAGCATAACTCAATGACTAAATAACAAATCTTCAGTTGTGTGTTTTGTGTGTTTCTCACCAGGGCTCTGTGCCAACTCAGCGTTATCAGGCCCCGGTATGGGGACCCTGCGAGTCGGAGTTGGAGGGTCAGCTTGTGTCTTCTTCAGGGTGACCGTGGATGGTTTGGGTGAGACTGGTGGCTTCAGAGACTTCCTAGCCTCCATCCACTCACAGCTCTCTCTGCTGGTCTCTGTTCTATCAGAGACCTCAGACACGGGCCTCCGCCTCAGGACCACACCGCCGTTCTGCTGCGGCAGCTCACCTCCGTTTTTCCGGCTACTATCTGTTTGACTGCTGGGAGAGTGTGGTTGGTTATTGCTTTGACTGACCCTTTCCGTATGGTCGGGCGTGTGCGGTCTCCTGCGGATGGTGTCGGAACCAGTTGTCATGGTAACAACAGTGGTGGTCGCGGATGCAGGTGCTTCAGAGTCTGTTGGCAGAGGACGAGGCTTCCTTCTGAGCGTTGCTGTGCTGTCTGTGATCTCTGATGCTAAGGGGACTACGGTGGAGCGGGGCCGTGGCTCCGGACGTTGCTGGGCCGGTTGTCGAGCTAACAGGTCAGTCTGATCACTGGGGAGGCCTTCTAGTCCACTGATGGTCCTGCGGCGAATTAAGACATCCTCTTCCTCAGATCCAAGACCCCCTGCGCCTGCCTGCCGACGAAGTGTGGGTGGACTCACCTGGAGGTCACATGATTGTTATTTTGACCATAAACATTTTAAAATAAGATTCTCATAGTACACACCAACCACAAAGACACACACACACCCACCTGTAGGTAGCTGGTGCTGCCTCCCAGATTCCTTGGCAGGGTTTTGGCTCCACCCACGATGGATGACTCCAGCATAGCGGCGAGGCTGCGAACACTCCCAGAAGCCCCCTCTGATCTCTCCAGGCCCGCTGACTGCTGAGATCTTAAAGCTGATCCCAGGCTGCCGCAGTCACTGGCTCGCCGCTCTCGATAGGTTGGCAGCCCTAGTAGCCCCTCCACTTGTCCCTCTCCCTCCCCGTCACCCCCAGTAATGGAAGAACAAGACCGTTTAGGTGGTGTTGGGGGCCGACCTTTCCGACGGGGGCGGAGCGTGACAGATGATTGGCTGCGGTTAACGGTGACATCATTAGGGGCGGCAGTATGTGCGGAGCTGCTGCGGCACACGGTGGCGTATCTAGAGTCTGATTCTGAGCCAATTAGACTATGAGTTCTCCGTCGCTCTTCCTCCTCACTGGGGAGACGGAGCAGCGGTACTGATGAATCTGTTGCTGTCATCTGGGTGGAGGGACGTGGCTGAGCTCTGGGGGAGGCCTGCTGGGTCCGGCCATGCGGGGGAGTCTGAGGTGGAGTTTGTGGGGGGGTTTGTGAATGTGCGAGACCTGGGCGAGGTTTGGCCAGCGGGCTGGGGGCACCGTCCCTCTGCTTCCTCACCTGTCTCCGTGGCTCTGAGCCGGTGCTGCCACCTGGGCTGGATGGAGGTGTAGAGGGGCTCTGAGGAGGCTCAGAGATACTTTCTCCTCTCTGTATCTCCTTCAGTCTCTTCACTCCCAACATCAGCTTCTTCTGATGGCCTGGGGGGAGGCAGGGGTGTGAAGGAGAGACATAGATTAATAGTTGTTGTGAGGTAGAAAGACAATAAAACTTATTTTAGACCTTACCTAGAAGTATTCCAGAATATTTTATGAAAATCAAATATGCTACTTTAACGTCGACCCTTGACCGCATCCTGCACTAGTAATCGTGATCATTACATCTAAACCACAGGTTCCCAATCCCTGGGTTGCGGGCCGGGAACGGGCCTCGGAACATTTTCTACAGGGCAACAAGGAAACTATTTGAATAGACAATAAGCTGAATAATAATTACGAACTATACTATAGGCTATGTTTGTGGTAATTACCTTACTTTTTTTTCTGAGGGGTCTATCTAAGTAACCACACTAAAATTCAGAGCAAATTAAGTTCTGAAACTTAACTTAATTTGCGCTGAATTTGAATTTGTTTAGTTACTTAATTTTCTATTTACAGTTTTTCTCAATTGCTTAAACACTATAAACAGACTTTTGAACTAAAATTTCTAAACCATAACTCAATTTTTCAAAAAGCACACCCATTTCTCTAAACTCTACACACAAATCCCTTCATTTCTCATTGCCTACACCATGCGGTCATTGAGAAAACACAAACATTCAATATTGTTCAGTCAATCAGCACAGATTGAGCTCAGTTAGCACCCAGCTACCCAGGTGGAAACACAAAGAGTCAAAATTGATAACACACCAGTCAGAACCTTCAATAGATGAATAAAAGGGCCGGACTCAGTTCATTCAGTTTTGGAACAATGGATCCAGAGAAATCTGAAGGAAGGGGTAGAGGACACCACAGAGGAGAAGGAGGAAGATGAGGAGGAGGAGGAGGAAGAGCGGTAGGAGGAGGAGGAGGAGATGGGATAGGAGTAAAATGAGGAGTAGGAGGAGGAGCAGGAGGAGGGCGGAGGAGGAGGAGGTGGAGAAGAAGGTGGAGGAGGTAGAGGGAAGAGGAGTAGGGAGGAGGAGGTGGAGAACCAAAAACAGGACGCTGGGGCAGAATAATTAGTTGTTTGGTGTGTTGAACTGTACAGCACACTATTTGTTACTTCTTTTGTTGTGTTCATCATGTGAAAAGGTTTTTGAGGGGGGGGGGGGGGGGACCACAAGCAACATTACTAGTAACAAAAATAAATAAATAAAGTTTTTCTCACCAGTGTGTAAGACTGTGTTGTAGTGTGTGTGTGTGTGTGTGTGTTTGCTTGTGTGTTATGTCTGATGGCAAAGTTTTGTTTTTCAGTGAGACTGAATGGTTTTGAGTGGAGAGCTTCATTTTGACCTGAAAATAGGAAATTGGGGAATTGGGAGAAGTTTTTTTTTTTTTTTTTTGGGAAGAAGGATTTGTGTTTAGAGTTTTGAGAAAATAGGCATAATTTCAAGAAATGTGTTGAAGCAATGGAGAAAAACTGTAATTGTGAAGATTTACATTTGTCTTATTTTGTATTGTCTTGTACTATGAACGTATACTCTGTCAACAAAATGAATGCTCTGTGATTGATAACTGATAACTGAAAGCTGATAACTGATAAAGTGAATAAATCCAGATAGAATAACAGAACTTATCCCTTTTTTAATTATTGTATGTGTGGTAAAGTGGGGTGATGATTCTTAATGTAAATAATAGACTGATGTGTAACCCTGAAAGGCTAGTTTTGACTGACATGTCTTTAATTTATATGTTTTGACAATCATACTTTTCATCATTTACATTAAGTGAATAAAATCAAAGCCTCTATATCTCTACTTACTGTCTTATTATAGTTTTATTTGTCTTACCGAGCTTAGTAATACCAATCTCTTGCAGATCCTCAAGGCTGATGTCAGAGATGAAGTCAATGTTTTCATACCCATTCTGAACCAGAACCTGGTAGTACTGACTAAGACCCAGGTGAGACAGCCAGTCTGCCAGATTGGCCTGAAAAACACACAGGGACACACAGACACGGACACAATGTAAAAACCGCAGAAGATACAGACTAGAATTGTAGTGCATTTTGAATCTAAAAAACTAGTTTCTTTTCTGGAAGAGCTGCATGTGTGTATGCTTGTGTGCGTGCAGCTGGCAAAACTCAACATCTCCACCTTTATCTAGTTTGTATAGTACACGTGAGAGTCTTACAGGCTTGTGGTCCGGCAGCCAGTCTGTGGAGGGAAGCTTGCTGATCTCTGATGTTAACTTCTTTCGATGTCCAGGCTTCATGACCCCAATTGCCGTCAGGTCCTTCAACGCAAAGCTCACTTAGTCACATCAGGAATTCACCACGACTACTGGAGGTGTCTTTTTCTTTTAAATGCAAACAATTTTATGCATACGTTTGACATTTGTACATGAGCTGCGTCTGATATGCCTTCAGGAATATTTTGCTTTTGCTTTTTAATCTCTGATGAGTGTCCCCTGCCCTGAGGGGGGTTACGTCATACCACTGTGTCTGCTTCAGTACACACACACACACGCACACTGAAAACACACTCAAGGACAAACACAGAGGGGCATTTACGGCACAGACTGCAACACACGGCCATGTGTGAACACAGGTATGTAAATGAAGCAGACAGAGTATGAGAAGTGACTGGTTGAGGCTCAGGACTCACACCGGGGGGTCAGGTGACAGAGACAGGAGGGTCATGATGACATCATCCAGGTCAGTGGGGAGCTGATTTGAGAGCTTTGCTGGGCGGAGCCTTGACAGACAAGGGGCGGGGCGTGAGGGGGTCAGGGGTCATGACCTTACCTCAGGGGTCATGCGGCTAATGGTGTCTAGATCATATCCCGCGGTGAGGAAGTGGGTGGTGTAGAACTGCAGCTGAAACTCACCCAGCCACGCCACTACTGCCTGCTTCTAGAACACAGAACACAGAACACTACTGCCTGCTTCTAGAAGAGTCCACAGGCCTCTTCTAGAGCACAGAACACAGACCTGTTCTAGGACACAGCATGGCAGCCTGCTCTAGAACACAGGGGAGAAGAATGTTCTAGAAAACAGCACAGACACCTTCCATTGCAGTCCCGATATTTAACCCTGCTCTACGACAAAATCTAGAAAGTGTTTACCAGCAAGGAATGGGAACCTTTTCTGGAGCACATAGTAGAGAGCTTTTCAGCTTATCTCTGGTTGTCTTTAGCTTACCGAACAGTAACTGTGCAAACACCGGCACAAATTCTACATATATTTATGCTCAAAAACATAACTGTGTCTAACTTACTGCTACTAAAATATGCAGTAAATAACTTAAGGGGTTTTCAGGAATAACACTATAAATGGATCTCTCAGTAATATACATTACTGCCAAACAATACTGCTTGTGATTCATAAGTGTTCGTAAAAATAACAAGACACATCCTAAAGGACAAATAAAGAACTAAGTGAATGTGAAACATGTTCCACTCAATCATCCCTGGTGCTAACTAGTTTTGTTAGATCACAAGCTTTGTGATCTCTGCCGATGAGACTTCTGCCCCCATCCAATTTTGACATGCAGGAGATTCAATGACCGACCCCACAATTAAAGGTTGATTAACACCTGGTTTTTACTGCTGGTTATTCGGGCTATTTTTTTGTTTTGTTGTTTTCTCACTGATTTGAGCAGGTCAAATATATTTCTATTCATCTGTATTGTATGTAGTAGTGTTAGGAGTCTCAGAGGTGGAGATCTCAAAAATCCCTGCAAATGAAAGTGAAACTACCGGTATGGTTAAATACCACTAGGTATCATTAAGTGTGGAACAATGGTTTTGTAATTTGGTTTGACTTGACCCTTTGCTAGGTCAAATTAGAGATTTTTTCTTGCAACCAATGAGAAAACACTAAGAACACTACTGCTTTTGCTTCTATGAGGGAACACTGCTGTTGCCTGGCAGCTAGTAAATGCTTGATCCTAGAAAACGCCGTCTGCTTGCTGCTAGAACAAACACAGAAAATTTAACCCTCACAGAACACACAGGGCGGGTTCTAGAGTAGAGCGGCAGCATGTGGGTATCTCAGTGTGGCGTGAGGGCAGGCAGGGGGTTGGGTGGAGGGACAGACGGCTGACTCCTCAATGTGTCTGTCAATCTGTCTGTCTCCATTTTGACACACTGGCATGCCCATCCTCAGGGTGTCATCTGTTCAGGTGCAACACAACCACGCTGGCAGACACCTCGCTGTGCCCACTGAACGCACCCTTAGATGTCCTTCTCTCAAACCAAAGCGCTGGTTGAGAGGAAAAACAGCAGCAACAGAAAAGAGGAGGCCCCAGAGTGAACCAATCTGCCATCCAAAAACTCACTTTCCCATCGTCCTCTTCTGCCTTCCGCTCAAATGACCGCTGTTCATGAACTGTGCAACTGGAGGAGCCTTGGTGTGGAGGTGAAAAGAGGAGACATGGGGAAAAAACAAGAGGGGAAAAAAATATTACTTTCAGTAGTAAATGATAATTTTGTTGTTTCACTCTTTTTTATTTTAATTATAGGTTTTAACATAAACCCATTACCCATACTCAGAACATAGTGTATTTCTGTTAGTAAACCTTTTGTTTTGTATTATCTAGTGATCAAGTGCAGTTTTTGAGGGTGAGAAGCAGTGGAGAAATTAGATCAAGTAAGGTTTATATTCCCTCTGCAGTCCTTCATAATAATTCTGGTAACACCTTTCATGCTTGGCTAGCTTTGCTGTGTTACCATTACACTTCCCACATATCACTTAAACCAGTTGAATGACAGCAGATTAAAATATGCTAATTTATATGCTTCCTTTAAAGTGAGATTACTAAATCATCTACAACTAGAAGCACAGTGCCCACATTAAAGTTACATGCCTACACAATACACTGTATATGTGTGTATAAATATGTCACACATGATTTATAGACACATTGTGAATGTACTACTTTCTGTAGCCCCAAGCGAACAAAGAGAGCAGCTTCTTACAAAAACTTGTGCCATGTCAGGAATGAAGTTTACTAGTTACAAGTGGGCCCTGATCCAAGCATTAGTCATTCAATACAGGCTGTGGTTAATACATGATAGCAAAACATGCCAGTCCAGAATGCTCATTTTAACATCAATAGGAGAACGCCAGCCATCTGCTGATTTTTATCAGCTTTACTGGAGCAGATTTATATGCTGAGTGCTTTCCATTCTAAGGCCGATGTTATCCTACTGCAACTGCCTCTTTCTTATCATGTTTTTTCTTTGGGTGCTGCACTGGAACATTTAAATTTTTGTGGTCCATCTCCTTATTTATGGTGGCTATCGCTGCTCAGGTTAATTACAGATTTTCTATTCTGCGTATTACACGTAGCCTAAAGCCTAAAACGAATGAATTCCTTGGGGCCAAAACGGATTTTTCCCCAAAACAGAGCGACCTGTTCCCTGGCTGTTTAGGACAGCATTTTATAGCAACTTTTATAAATAAAGCATGGGTAAGGCTGTTTGTATCTGATGTGAACAGACAGGTGGTCTTTAGAGGGCCAGGCTGACTAAAAGTGAGATGAAGTGAAATTATTCATAAAAGCAGCGATCCTAACAAACCCTGAGGCACTTGTCATACTGGTGAACACCGCCTTGATCTGTTTTAATTGTAATCACTTTACTACAGAGCGAATGCTTTTTTTTTTAATCGCTGGTATACAGTTTTTTTAATAGCAAGTGAGGACAAACTCACTCATTTCAAGTAAAGCCAAATATTTTATTTTCTATTTTATGCTGTGTTTGGGTGACTTGGTGTGCTTACTCGCTGACTGCTCAACAGACTGCGACTGCTCCAAGAGATGCTCCTTAGCCTTTACCGACTGGGACAGCACGGTGGCCAGGAGCTAAAACACAAAGACACACACAAACATGGTCAAACACACACACAGACACATGGGCACACACATGCACTCACAAGTGAAACATTTACTCAAGCATAATCATTCAAATCTTCATGGTACCGTGTGACTCAGTTCAGCGGTGCGCGCACACACACACACACACACACACACACACACACACACACACACACACACACACACACACATAACAGACAGATTCAGGCTTGTGACACTCTTCCTGCTGACACTCTGAACTTCCTGCAATTTACCAACACTGATGCAGCAGAAATCCTAGAGTAAACACTTCTTAAAATAGATGATGTCCCTACAGCAAAATACAGAAACACCATGCAATTCGGCTAATTGCTCATTCAGCATTATTAAGGTAGTACCTAAAAATAGACTTATTATATCTGGTAAAATAATTAAATTTAGAATGTGCTAAAGGTGTTAGAGAGCAGACCTGCAGGTTGTCATCACTGATTATAAAAAGGAAAGCACACTAGAGAATGTGAATGTGAAGTGAATTAAAATACCTTCACTATTTTGACTTTAGCCAACAGTGTGATATATTGATAATCTGTTTCCTTACAAATACATACAAATACTTGGTGATCACATACCATGTGTGATACATGAAAGCTTGTTGTTAAAAGTATGAATTCATTACTTCTTTTTACAAAAATTACTGTTAAATTTAGTGTAGCTGACGCCAGACAACCCACTTTTCCACACGCCACTTTTGTTAATTAACTATGTTGGAAGTGACACATGGTTACACAATCTAACAAAACCAGTCTAGCACAAAGAGAAGGTATTCAGGGATGTATACAGTAGAATTTAGTTGTTACAGTTTGTCCAGACAGAAAAGGTTGATATTGGGATTTTCAGGTAAAATTTTTCTATGTGACTGATTTTAAGGAGAAACCAGGAGGCCACCATCTTAATGCACCTGGTCTACTGTTGAAAAAAAGAGATCTCTCCAACGGAAGAACAGACTGAGCAGGAAACAGAACTGTGGTTAACTTGATAACTAGGCTTTGTGTTTGTTTCCTGAAAATGTTATGTCGTTTCCCAGAAATGACGTGCTTGCTGTTTTGTAAAGATTCAGCAGCAGTGTGATGTAAACACGTGCAAACACATGCACACAAAAAAAGTCTCTTACCTTGACCCCTTCAGCTTGTGCGTGCAGGCCTGGAGCGTTAAGGCCATGTGTGTTGACTCCTGGTGTGGTTGCCGGGTGTGGACTGGGGGCGGGGGTGGTCAGAACATGTGTGTTTCCAGAACTCTGCAAGCTGCTTGATGAACGAACACTGCCGATGCTGCCCACACTGCCACTGCGCTCGCCACCTCCACACACATTGCAGGATGCAGTATTACATAGAGGACATTCTTCAAATACATACATTGTAACCTGACAACACACTTTTGAGTTTACCTGCCAACGGTTTGCGTAGCACCCAGATATCCTCGCTGGTGTTGCTCTGCTGTCCCAGAGTTGGAGAGCCTTGAGGACTTGGCTCTGCAGTCCGTGAACCTGTCACATACACCGCACGCACACATGCACACACACATATATTATAACCAAAAATGCAGTAACTAATCAACAGCTACACAGACACAAATGATAATGTGTCTATTATAGTTATTAATATAAAAATGTGTTTACTCTCACTTTAACCTGCTTAGGCTCACAAAGATACACTCACTCACCTGCACATTCACAAAGACAAAATTACTCATAGTGGTTGCTCCACCCCTGAGCGCTAATCATTCAGAGTATCAAAACCCACAGATCTGGTACAAATCATTGTGCACTTGTCTGCACAATATTAATAAATTAATAAATATTTCAATAAATATTGTGCAGACAAGCGCTGGTCAAAACACAACTTCACTTTAAATAAAACATCCAATTATTTAAGAAAAGTTCCAAGAATATTGATATAAAATTGTGAATAATGCCTCTCAAAGCTTCTATAATATGCACAGTATGTGAAGTTTAAAAAGTTTAAAACGGTGCTTTTAATAGAATAATTCAGTTAAAGGGTCAGTTCAATCAAATGACAAGAAAGATATTCCATATTTAGTTTTAAAAACTCTAGTTAATGTAGTTAATTGGGATATCCCATAGGCTAAAATGGCAATAGAAATCTAATTTTGTCATTAGGGTGAACTTAGTTAATATATATGTACATATACATAATCTACATAAATCTACACACACACAAACACACATACACATATATAATATATATGTAGTTGCAGTGAAGTGCTGGAATAAGCAGATAGGTCATATATTCTATATGTGGTCTTGTCAAACAGCGTGGAAAGGATGCTTATCTGTGCTTTAAAGTGATACTACAGTATGTACCTGTCTGACTCTGCTGCTCCTGAGAAGTGGAGAGAGGAGGAGGAAGAGGAGGAGGAGGAGGAGTGGACAGAGGAGGAGTAGACAGAGAAGGAGGAGAGATGGGAAGAGGAACGTACCCAAAGGAGGAGAACCGAGGGAGGGACTGTGTGTTGGGGTGAGAGGGAGGAGGGGGAGGCAGATGCAGGGGGAGGACTTTGGAGGGGGGGTATGAGTGTCCGTTGACCGAGGCAATGGGACAAGGGTTGGGCCTGCGGAGCAGGAGGGTGTGGCACTGCTGGGAGGGGGAGTGACCTGGACACAAGCCAGGAGGAGGAAGGTGCAAAACAACAACAACAACACAACAACAACAACAACTGATCAGTCAACTTGAAACAAAACAAATCTAATCAAATTTGAAAATGTGTAAAATAATAATTGATTAAAATCAAAATATGAGAAAAGTATACATCCATATATCCACAGGGAATATATCTCTATAAATTAAATATAATATCACTATAGCAATAAAGCAAACAAACAATATGAACAAAAGCATCACAATCTAGAGCAGGTTGGTTAGACGGCTTTATTAAGTAGGGAAGGTGACAGAAGGAGCAGAAATATAGAGGAAGGGAGGAGGGTTGACAGCCAATATGGGACAGTATGTGATCAATGGAAATGATTGACAGATTGGGAAAAACAGACGGGCTTCCTAAAGAGGCCGATGATGTTGCAGCTAGCTACAACTAATGATCAGCTATAGCTACAGAACAGCTGCTGAACTCACACACGCGGAAGCACACACACATCCCCCCCCCCCCCCCCCCCCCCCCACACACACACACCACAGCTGTGACGTGGGTGGTCACCTGCCCTCTTGATGACTTCCACCATGTTGGAGGGGAAGTAGCCCACACGGTCATTTCCTGTGCGGTTGTCGTGAATACAGCCTTTCCATCGGCCATCAGAGTGCTGCTCCAAAACCTGTCAACAAACAGACATACAGTTTAAAACATAACATTTGAACCTCTTTACACATTCAGACAATAATTGGACTAGGTTGCACCAGCTACAACCATACAAATTTGTGTGTAAAGTTCATGGTACTAGCTAGTTTCAGACTAGTGATTTAAACAATCTAGCTAGTAAACACCTTAGTAATGTGCAAAGCTGTAGCGCTATCCAGTCAAAAGTGATCAGCTATGTAAACAGGAAGTCACTGTAGCATCACAAGCTGTAACATAACTGCCCAAAATGATTGTTTTAGGGGGGCATCCCTTATAAATGTATGATGTTAATGATTTTATTTTATTTATATCTTCATACATGAAGGAATATGTCAGACATCTAGACAGACAGATAAAAGCTCATTTTGAACACAAAAAGCAATTTTTAATTAGCAGTTTTGTTGGAAAAATCACTTGTGTTCAAAATAATATTAAAACAAGAATCTCTAAAATATAAATAAATAAATAAAAATTGTGATAAATATCCAATTAAGTTAACCAACTGGCGCTGACCTCATAGCACAACATTTTGTAATTTGGGGTACCGTATACTGTCTTATTTTTGTGAAATGTTGTTTATAATGTTCAGTTTATTGCACCGCACTTTATCACGTGTCATGTCAAATATATCAAACACATTGCATATTTTCTCTCTATTTACTCATCTATTTAAAAGGGTCATATAGTGAGCTATATAATAATAAAATATTAGCAAGCTAGTTTCGTCAGTTAATTCATGCAGCAGTTACACCTGGCAGTTACTGATTTTAAGTATTCAGTCACAGCTAACTAGCTAGCTTTTGTAGTGCAATCCATTTTAATTTAGTGATGCGTTAATCTCCACATTGTTAATACTTAAGTTAACAAGTTTAATAAGAGCTGGTGCAACTGGCTAAGTTAATGTTCATATGTTTGTCTATTAACTAGATTTTATATTTTCAGCATTGAATTTGAATTTCAGACAGACATACTGCACTTTGGGGACAGGTTGAGAAATATATTGTGTTTTGGGACGATTGTTAGATCTATGTACCGTGATAATGTCTCCAGCTTTGATGTTAAGGCTGGTAAGGTCGTAGTTGTTGCAGTAATCCTTCAGTGCTCGCACCTGCATCGCAGCTGAAGCATCTGCAATACAAGAGTATGATATGAGTGAGCAGTAGATTTGAGTAGAGTTAAGCAGTGGACGAGAGCACAGAAGAGATTTACAGTATAGGCAGTATGAAAAAGTAGAACAGAAAGGAAGAGGTAACTGTAAACACTTGCTGCAGGGGTGGAGTGCATGCACTGTTTTGCTTCTCCACTATATGAATATATATGAGTATATGAATGCATGTAGCAATTACCCGTGTTTCTCAAAAGATTCACACAATTCTGTTATTTACTATTAAATATGTCCTGTAATTTCACATCCATGTAATAATAAAATAACAGAAAATAATTCTTAATGTTTGACAAACTATTTGGTGGTGATGAAAATATATTCAGAAGTAGCCTATTAATGAATAAATCAGGACACATGACTCTCCCCACACATCATAGACCAAAATTAATCAATTTTTATAGGGTCATTAAAAAATATCTGTATCAATATTGGTGATGTCAGCCCTAGTATTACTTGGTGACTAAATTAATGATGATGATGATAATATTTTATTGTCAGATCAAGTCTGAAATTGTTCTTGCATCACAGCAGCTCTTTTTGCAACATCACAGAAAAGACAAAAATAATGAAGAGAAATGACAGAAATATTTATACATTTAACATAACATTACAGTCACAGAAGAAAGTACTCAAGGCTCTTCAATGTACATTTGATATGGGATTAAGCTCCATATTTGATTTTGGGATTGACTGGTGTACAAAAGAGTACTTCAGTCTAACTTATTAAAACGTGGAACCCTGTATTTTCAGTTGGATGGTAACAGTTTGTATTCACTGTTCAGGACATGGTTGGGGTCAGAAACAGTGTTGTTGGCCAGTCTTAAGATGTTATTGTGGTAGGTTGATTCATAGAGTTTTTCAAGGGATTGGCCTACAATATTTGAGCAAATTGACATTTGCTGGAGTAATTTTGACACTCCAAAGTAGTGGACAAACACTTAGACTGTGTAGTGTTACAATACTGTGGAACAGTATAACAGTATACAAAAGTAGAATTACTCTACTCCCCCCAAATGGCCTAAGGTGGTGTAGAAAAAAAAATAGTTGTAGTGAGTGTGTGTGCGCACTCCTGTACTCACCTCTCAGTAGTTGTTTGATCTCTCGGCTGGCCTGTGTGGTGGTGAATTGGTTAACAATGTCCAGAGCAGTTTGACTCAGAGTGTTTCTCACGCCTGCACTGATGCCGCTCTGGGTGGAAGTGGAGAAAAATTATTAAAGCAGCACTGTGAAATTGCGTCACATTGATTTTATAATAGGGATACTGTGCATTTGCGGTGTCAGTCTGGCTGTGTGTACATGCCTGTGGCTATCATTTGTTGTGTGTGCTGCCTCAGCAGTAACATCAAAAGTGAAATACAGTAGGATAAGAGAGGACACTGAAAGCAGGCCCTTTTCAAAAGCAGGATCCTTATTCATCTGAAGGTGACAAATAGATTAAAAAGCAAAACAGAGCTGGTTTGAATATTGCATGACGTTTAGGGTTCTAGCCACTCTGCTACAGTTTTATGTAAGAGGCCAACATATCCCACAGGTTTCATCACACAGCTCAGTGGGATGAATGCCAAGTGCTGAGGTGTAAACTTGCTCAGCTGTGGTGAGAGAGGCAGCTTTAACAACAGTTGCTTTTGTAAACACATTAAACAGACAGACAGATAGACTTACATCCAGCAGCAGGCGTACTACCTCTGTCTTCCCACAGAGGGCTGCCTGATGTAGCGCTGTGCCAGACTCAGACTGTCTGTTGATATCTATACCAGCCTGAATCAGCAACCTGCAGCACAAAATAATATTAACCTTTATTTGTTTAGCATCTTTCATAACATGACTACATCAGAGTGCTTATATAGAATAATACAAATGAAAAACAGAAGTAAAGTAAGACAATATGTCTACAAAACCTATCTACATAAATGCAGGTCAATAAAAGTAGTAGTAGTACGTTTTAAAGCATTTTAAAAGACTTTAACTGGACCTATACATTGTATGTGCTATAGATCGTAATAGATTTTTAGATCATAAAGTGGCCCTGGAGTTTAAGGTTTTATTAGATGAGTAAGTCAGGTGGACGGACTGACTATGCAGAGTAGGTATGAAGACAGACTGACACAGAGAGAGGCAGACTGAAAGGACTAGCTTGTCAGACCGTATGACATCAATGTGTCCGTTCTTGGCAGCGAGATGTAGAGGTGACACTCCGTTGGGGTCGGAAGGTTTTGGTTCCAGCATGGCTGCACACATATTACTGCTGAGCAGGAGCTGGACCACCTAAAAGACACACAGCATGTTCATGTATTATATTTCTACGAACAGTTCCTAATGTCTGCATTGAACAATGTAAACAAGCTTGTATGAAGCTGCTCCCACAAGTTTCAGTGTGTTAAGCTTTTGAGGGCCACCGTAATTGAGGCTTTCCTGATCAAATGAATGTTAAATACAATAAAATATAAATAAAAATTTCTCTGTAACAGTTTGGTTTTCAGTCAAATCTACTCACTGCGACGCGCCCAAATTCACAGGCGAGGTCCAATGGAGTTTTGCCAGCTGAGTCTGAGATACACGGGTTGGATTGGTGTTGTAGCAACATCTCCGACTGTAACACACACACACACACGCAAATCTTACTGACACTTTCCACAAATCATACGTGCATCACCCGGCACACATAACAGAAAAACGCACCTCACAAAAACACACACACACGGCCACCAATATATACCACCTACACCTACAGTACACAAACACACACACAGTTACCCCATCATAGTGTCCATGCTGAGCTGATAGGTGGAGGGGGATCTGTCCTTCATCTGACTGTCCGTTGACTGACGAGCCTGCCTTCAGCAGCATTTTCATTGGCTCAGTCTTCCCCTGCCATGCAGCGTAATGCAGAGGACGCATTCCTACACAAAATACATACACACACAAACACACAGACAAATACACACAAAAACACACAGCAAAAAAGACATATAAGACCCCACAAGCACATGCACACAGACACATGGATGGATGCAAAGACGCACACTCTGTTATTCTTATTTTTACACACAAACCAGTTTGCCAGTGGCCATCCAGCTGGCAATAATACCTACATATACATACATTTTACAGCTGAATCATTATACTACATTATTAAACTCACAAATGTATTCCAAAAGTGTTGCCACTGAAATTGAAAATATGCATTACAGCTAAAACAATTATTCTACAGGTAGAAATGGATCAGTTACTATACTGATTATCGATTCAAGTAATTATTGCTATATAATGACAATCTGTAGACCAAATGATGGATGGATTAATTCAGAAAAAAATCAGTAGATTAATTAATAATGACAACAATCTTTAGTTGCAGCCCTAACATGAATGCAATGTAATCTGTTTTACTGTAGCAACAGATATAAGCACACACTCTCAGTATCCCTTCTGGATATGCCATCTTATTGTGATTGACATGCTTGTGACCCTTTGTGAACGTGGATGCATTGTTTGTACAAGCTTCATACTCATGGGACGCTGCAGACAAACTGCTTTCAGAAAAAGCGCACAACAAGAAATCCCCTGTAAGTGGCTGAACAAGACCTAAGGGAACCTTGCAGGAAACTGTACATTGCAGCACGCTCGTGGAGCCATGCAGGAGATACAAGGTGGTTCAAAGTTCACCTGAGCACAGCATTAAATAATTAACCATTAAGCACTTACCAGTGCCTCTAACCAGAAGATATTAAACGCCACTTTTTAGCGTGTAGTGTACCTAAGACCCCCAGTCTTGATACCAGCGATGAGCCACATTGTCAAACTGAATAAAAAGGCCCTCCAGGCCTGCTGGCATGAGGAAGTCCTGAGTCAGAAGAGAGGTGCTGGCAGGATAAAGAGGCACAGCAGCTGTAGGAGTTATAGAAGCTAAAGCCTGAGTATATGAAGGGATGTGATGGAAAATGACTTTCAGGCAGGCTCAAAGAGCTTCTAGAAAGTGTTTTGGTGACTCGCAAAAAGAAGTACTTCACCCAGACTGTGCAGGGAAAGAGAGTCACACAGGTATTTTGTGGTGTAATGGACACTGCCTCAATTCAGGAGGTTATTTTAAAGGATTGCTGGAAGTGATATGAGTTTGTTTCTTTTCCAGTGGCCACAGAGTGGTATTGTGATTCACATATCCTGTGTTGGTCAATGTCTGGATCATATTTATAGAACAGACGACCCACTTTTCATTTTTGCACCAATAACAAGAACAAAGGTCATGCAGAATTTTGATAATTATAACCAAATGAGTTTCCTGATTTTGGAAATACCCTCAACTGTGTTCCCAGGAGTATCTTGACAAAGTTGTGGAATACACTGTTTGGCCCCTTTTCTTTTTTTATGCTTTTGTTTGGACAGGATATAAGGCCCCAAAGTCTACGCCTGCAAGACGTCCAGGTCAGTGACCTTAAGATGGCATCTTGCACAAGAACATTTTGTAGATGGGTGTGATGTCTTCCGAATGAGCAGTAGAATTTAGAGGTGAGGAGAGGATCTTAAGCCTACAGTATTGTATTTCTTAGCCAAAACAAGCTATGAACTCTGACATTTAAATTGATATGGGTATCTACTTAGCAAACAGCTGTCTATTCACACATCCAGCAGACACAGAGCAACATTTTTATTCACTTGGAGTCTTTGGGTTTCTGGCCACCTGATGAATGTAAGTCCAATCTTAACTCTCCTTTTAGCTCTGTTTTGTATATGAGAATATCTGGCTCTTTAGCTGCTAAATGCTCCACTAGCTAGCATGTTTACCAGCTAGTCTGTCTGTTATTTTAAGCTTTCCAGTCTTCACCATAAGGTTGTCACTGAAGGAATGATTTTCCTACCACATCCATGGAGAGAAACTAGCCACCTTGCAAGGACGCCTGCCAGTTGTGTACCTCTATTTGGATAACACGCTGGGCATGACTGACTGCGAGTGCAGAGACAGTAGCCCTACATCCTGGAGGGATTATATCTCCCATCTGCCATGAGATTTCTTCTTCTTCCATTGGAATCTGCCCGTATGAGATGAAGATATTTGCTGATCTGCATCCTCTTGGCTCTTAGTCCTGCCACCATAAAGCATTCCTCGTCTATTGTCTATTGTTTGCTGTGCACACAAATCTGTCACTTCTCCTAAGCACTGCTACTTCTTTTATTATTGCATTTCCAACAAGCTCTCCTTTATTACACAAGATGGTGTTTTGGTCACACAGGGGAAGCCAGAATATGTATTTGTCTTCCTGTTTTTGGGAGATTATTTTGCTGAGTGTGTGTGTAACATAGCACACTTGTATTCTGTGAAAATCTCTGTGTATTTTTTTTTACCTTTATGGTCTTTAATATCCACTGCTGCCTGGGCCTCCAATAGCAGAGAGATCAGCTCCTTGTTACCACTCAGAGCAGCATGGTGCAGCGGTGACAACCTTCACACAGACACAGATTATGCATAAAAATACACATATTCGTAGATGTAGTGTAAAATCAGAGAATAACTTTACTGAAATAATCTTCAGCGTAGAGCAGCTCCGCCCCTCAGCTCTGTGTGAGCGACGGGAGGGGGCAAATGACCTACTTCCATTAATAAGCAATCTCTCTACCCCGGAGCCGAGCGTACACACAGCGCATCTATGCGTGTGTGTGTGTCTAATGGATCCCTGGTGAATATAAGGGCCGGGCCCTGGAGTTAGATCAGCGAATCATCAGTCATTACACAAGGAGCTGCGTCCAATTATCTGATTCCAATCAACATAATAAAAAGATATTTGTTATCTGATGGGGCCAAATGGAACACAATCGCAAACCAAGCATGTGCACATAAAAAGCTTAACCCATCATGATTCTAAATATAGCCAAAATCCATAGATAGATTTCTGAGCAAATTAAGAGCTGGGAAATTTTGGCTTTCCTTTGAGGTAATTACACTACATTACATTTGAGCTCTTCAGCTGGCTACAAGTTTCAAAGATTTAGGCTGAGCATAATGTGTAAAATGATATGGCTGTTAATATGTTAATCTGAGAAGGAGATTTCTTTTTCTTGAGTCGTGTTTCTAACCACCCGATGTATGTAAGTCAAATATTTACTCTCTTTTAGTTTTGTTATTGGTCACTATCAACTAATGAAGGAATGGGTCAATAGCAAGTCGCTAACTGTGTCTGTCTGCTGTTTGGTGCAGAGTGGGTAGTATAGAGTGTTTTTTAGAGCTTTTTCACTGAAAGCAGCTGCTGCGGCTGCAAATGAAGCTATGAGAGCGGTGAGAGTGAACCAAAGCAGTAAAGTTGTGGTCGAACAGCTAAACATTGAGCTAAAACTTACTATAAAGCTCCGTAAAGCCGAAGTGAGCCTCGGATTTGTATAATAGGCAAGGCAAGGCAACCTTATTTGTATAGCACATTTCAACAACAAGATAATTCAAAGTGCTTTACAAAAAACATAAAAGCAACAGGGAAATATAAAAAAGTTTAAAAGCAACATAGGGAAAAATTTCTCATCAATACATTCTTGTATCAATGCGAGCACCTCCTGCATCGTGATTTTGTTTTCACATTACCATTTGATATAACAACATTGTTGCTTTAAGTAGGCTATCAATTTTGTAATCTCTTGGGGAGTTCTGACCTTACAAATTAGGGCTGCACCTAATGATTATTTTTTAATAATTTAATCGAACAATTCTTTTTTTGATTACTCTTAAGATTTGTTTTATTTTTTAATTTTTTATTAATATTTAAATATTTTATTCAATCATCAAAGAGGCACATTAGAATAATATTGGCGTATCTTAAAATTTGTCTGATTTTGTAGTCACTACTGTGTTAGGATATTAATATTATTAACAGACTCTCTTTGTCGGCAAACACTGAATTTCCCCTTGTGTGATTAATAAAGTATATCTTCTTCTTCTTCTGCCTCAGATGTCTGATCAGAAAATAACTGGACCACCAATTCAAAAGAATTGCTGTGACACATCGATTAATGTAATCGCTGTGTGTCAACCTTTTCCCTCAAACGGAGAATCAGTATTTTTATTCAAGTACTTGACTTAAAACTTAAAATGGTTATAACATGGATTTATTTCATCACTGGAGTAATCTGCAGTAAGATAATCAGTGGAAAATGTTTTTTTTGCATCATGGTGGGGCAAAGAAAAAAACTGAGACGATTTATAGAATGTAACAACAGTCTGTAAAATTAGTTTAAGCAATTTTTTAATCATACTCAGTCATATAAGTAAACAGAAAATATAAAAGGCTAAATGTTGATGACATGGTGTAACGCTACCTTGCCACGACAGCAGAGGTGCAGAAACTACTTTGAACACGGGGGCGATTAAGAAACATTTAGAAAGTCAAATATAAGTGACTACCACTAACAGAAAGACGCCTTTCCTGTTAATAATACTAATAGACAGTATGATGTTTGTGTGGGGACAAAAAGTAAACAGGATTCGTAGTGCTGAGAAAGTGCTCTGTGATGATTTCACTTCGAGTGATCACGCACATTATGTAAATCTACTCCAAATTAGGAACCACTGCCCTAAATATTATGTTGCTTCTTGTAATACACTATATGCACTAGAAGGTGTTTATATTTTGAACACGAAAAAATATTATTGTAATTAAAAATATAAATATGAGCAAACCCAATGTCATATTGATTCAGGGATGCATCTCTGTAGCCAAGATGCAATATAATGAATAACACTTTTTTTTAGCTCTCTTAATAAAGGAAATAACATGATATGATACCAATAAGACAGACTGGAAAGAACGATTGAAGGAAAGAAGGGAAAAAGAGGCAGTGAAACACAGAAGACTGCAATGTGGAGCAATGGTAGGGAGTACATTTATAAATTAGAAGAGTTGTAGCCTCTCACCCATCTGCATCCTGGATGTTGACGTTCACCCGCTTTGCTGCTCCAAGGAGCTCTGAAACATACAGAGGAAAGAGACACAGAGAATGACAGAACAGTCCAAATTTATATCTATTCATAATTCAGTGATTAATGTATTCTCTCGGTGTATATGTTCTAATATTTCATTCCCTGCAGGTATAGAGTTGACAGCTACACTTTCATACCTGAGAGCGCTCTAAAACAAGGAACAGTTTCTTTTCTTTACTCCAACAACAACAACAACAACAACAGAGGTCAAAGAGAAGTGACAAGGTAAAGAAGACGAACATAGGTCAGTCTGGGAAACTCCTATAAAAGCTCAGTCTGTACTATATATATATATATATATATATATATATACACGTGTCTGTGCTTGTGATTATGTGAATGTGCACATGCATGTGATAACCTTGATCTTTGACAAAGAGCTGAAGACACCAGACAGCAGGAAGGAGCACACAGATGCAAACACTCACAAAAACCAACACACACACTTGGACACAAAAAAAAGCGGCTTGTTTGTCTCTCTGCCTCTACTTTTTTTTTTTTTGGTCAAACCCACATAATCCACAGGCCGTAATCTGTAGCTGTTCTGTAATCTGGGGAAAAGCTTCTTCCTCTCTCTGCAGCTCTATCTGCACTTCATCCCTTCATCCTGCTCTCACACTCTAATTTTCCCTGTAATTTGCTAAAGAGCGCATGCTGATTGGTAGTTCTGCTGTTTCTGTTTACACTCTGCAGCTGACATCATTCTCCTGCATGTGTGTGGGTTTGTGCACATGTAGGTTCCCCACAATCTATCTTGGATTAAAAATAAGAACCCCCCCTTCCTCCCCCTCCTCCAGCAGAGGAATCAATGAGTGCAGATATCTGTGTCACCATCAGAGAGCCACATGACACCCGACCACAAACTTATGACAGGACCACAACATCCAACACATCCACAATTATTCTACTATCGTTTTCTCAATAGATTATCCTTCTTTTACTAGATGAAGTCTGGTTCAAGGCTTTATTTAATAACGCTCCCCCATCTGACCCAATACCATGATGTATATTTAATCAAATACCGATGCAGCTGACTAAGACGGGGTATCACTCTGTTTCGAGAGCAACGAGGATCGCTCTCAAAACAGACTTACGTCTTCAAACTCACACTCATTTAATTCATAACCACCTCCCTAATTCTATCAGTCACTTCAAAACTGTCACCTTAAATTTCCAATTTATATATTTTCCGTCTCTGACATGAACTGTGTGTTTTGAGAGCATTACCATAATGTTTCTCTGATGGTGTCCTTGGGACCAGGGTTCATGATTTTTATGATAATTTTAGGCGTAACACTGCAACTGAGCCCCAGTTTCCACGGTAACCCCTCGATGTGCCGTTCTCACAGACTGTCAATCACTTGGACGTTATTTTGCAACATCTCCCTCAAATGTTAGCTACTTCAGAGTTTATTTAACATGAAATCGTGTTATTCACATTTCACATGAAACAGTTAAATCTTAATAGAGAGCACCAACAAACTAATAGCTACTGGCAAAGCAACCTTCAGTTGAACAGAGCCTATTCCCAGACCTTGGGAGAGGTGAAGCAGAAGGTTTCTCAAGGGTTCTCATTACCAGAAATGTTCTTTAGTCCAGTTTTCATCACCTCTGACTTTGCCTGTCATCATCCATTTAGAGCTTCACTGTAACATGTAGCCTAAAACAAATGCCATCGCTGACATAGCTTTTCTCTTTCTGTTTTCAGACGATTGCACACATATGTTATACAGTGACTGGACTCAGGGTCACAATATGGAAAAAATCCAGGTACTATATCACATTTTCATCAAAAGTAAAAAATGACAATGTGATAAGAGTGCTGTAAGGGATATAATCAAGTATTATAAGAGTATTTAATGATTGTTGTAGCAAACGTTTATGTTGTAGTACTTAAAATGTGCTTCATTACTTACAGTGATGACGTCATGGCCAATGGCTCTCAGTTAATTAGTCTGTGGTGAAAGAAGCTTTCGGACCAAGTCAAGACAATAAGAAGGGATCTATCTTTTGAATGGGAGTTAATGTCTTCTGAAGTTTTATTATGAATCAAACACATTGCTTTTACATAAAGTTAAACTGTAGGGGTAATTCACTTATATTGGTATATTCACTTTTTCTCAAGTACGACACATGTTGTTCTCCAGCCAAAGAATATTCCCACTACAGCAGCATGTTTCCGTTAATATTTCTGCTGCTGGTCTATAATGTTATTACTGCGTTTAAATACATTTGTTTACTTGATGCAATGGGAATAACAGTAATTTATACTTCAGTTCATTATGAACTACTACTGACTGTGCCAGAAACAGTCAGGGTTGTTGTACTTCCTTGATCATAGATAGGCTCATACATTGTATAAATTACTTTTTGCCCATTTCAGTTGCTTGCTACAACATAAAAGAGATACAATTATGATAAGGATGTTCTCATATCTCTAAGAAAAAGAGCTTTACTGCAACTGAGCCAAAGATAAAGAAACCATTACCAAATAGTTTGGAAATATGCCTTACTTTGTGTAAGCTGGCATTGGCTTTTAATGTCATCTATTCATCTAAGTCTACCAGAGACTCAGCATCTCTGTCGGAACTGAGTCATTAAAACTTAAAAAAAAATCTAAATCCTGACAAAGGATTTCTCCAAACAGAAAACAGTGATTGCTGCGAGACTGAAGGATAGATCTGGTGATATTTTTCTTATTGTCAACGAATCCCACGAAAAGACCATAACCAACAATGAATCGATCCTATTAACAAATGTTGTCTGTGTTGCCATAGCCTGGTATACTGTTTCTTATTCCTCTGTGCAACAGATTAAATGCAACGATTAAAAACTGGGTGACACATTCCTTCATTACGATGAACACGGGCCCTGTAGGTTATTTTAAGTCCCACATTCAACTTTTTGGTGCTCAAAATACTCACTAGAGCAGCAGTTGTACATTAATGGGCAGTGGAAATAGTCCCCAACACTGTTTCCTCTCATTTGAGTAAAGTCTGCTTAAAGCTGGAGTGCCCAGCTGGTTTAGGAAATTGCTGAGGCTTTTTTAAAAGATGAAACTATACTAAGGTGACCGACTTTTAAAGATGTATGTCTAAAGTATGTCTTCAGTAGGAACAAATGGGGTTGACTGTGTGCCACAGACAGTGTACTACAGTGAAGTCGGAAAGTAATAAGAGATGGACTATGGTCTTCATGGGATTTCTTAACAATAAAAATAACAGCAATATCCTACCTAAACCTATTTAAATAACAGATCTTCTGAATGTCCAAAATATGTTATCAATACATACGATATCTAAATGTGGAAATTACCAAAAGAAAAGTATTTTCTGTAAAGAAAAAGCTCAACATTTTGAGAGATTCAAAATCAAAAGTGTAAAAATGTTTTATGGGGGTAGTGCCAGACTGTTTGGCCGGGAGCAATTTTGGGGCAACCAGAGACTCCAGGAACTCACGCCAAGACATAGTCTGGCACTAAACCCCTGTAAAACAACAAATTGGCATTTTTACAATTTGTTTTTTTGTATGGATTAAAGAAGTGAGATAGAAAGTGTTAATTAGTGAGCTTTAGAGGTGTTGGTAGGGGGACTTTGCTATCTTCTCACAGAGCCAGACTAGCTGTTTTTTCCATTTCTAATATTTATGCTAAACTAAGCTAACTGGCTGCTCCAGTCTCCAGCTACATATTTACCATATAGACATGAGAGGGGCATTCATTTTCTCATCAAGTTGTAGGCAAGAAAGCGAAATAAGTGTATACACAAAAATACAGTATCTTACTATTGCTGCGCTGTAATTAGTGGGTCACCCACAGCGACCATTTCTTTAATCCCCTACTGTATACATCAAATTGTGACATTTTGACAGAGCACACCCACATCATTAGCATACTGTTAATAACACAAACGCATGACTAACACTTGATGTGTCAAGTGTGTTTCTGTGCACACTTGCCTGTAACTGTGTGTGTTGGAGGTGTTTGTGTGTGTGTGTGTGAAGGCAGTGATTCTCCAGCAGAGAAACCTGGCTTCCTGTTTAATTATTCAAACATAAACCTGGATTTATGCAGTTATACACACACACACACACACACACACACACACCTCCCATAACTCACCTAACCTCTTTCCATCACTTCCTGTCTCTTTACCTCTCTGCATTTACATTTTGATGCTTTCCCTCCTTCTGTCCTGCGCTCTCACACTTTTCCTCTCCCATTCTAACCCTCCTCCTCACCCTCATCCGCTTCACCCTCTACCCTCTACCCACCTCCCCCTTTCTCTTTGTCACTGTGCAGCGGACTGAGCACTCAGAGCTGATCTGTTCTGGCATTTGAGGAGAAGCATTTTTCTTTTCCATGGCACTGCTGGAATGTTCAGAGACAAACACACACATGAGCAGAGGAGAGGAAGAGAGAGGAGAGGTGAGGAAGAGAGATGAAATGAGATGAGAGGAGAGGGAGGAGGGAAGATAAGGAGAGGAGAGGGTAGAAGAGGACAGGAGAGAAGGGGGAGGAGAGGAGAAGGAGGAGAGGAAGAGAGGAAGAAAATGAGAGGCAAGGAGAGGAGAGGAAATGAGATGAGAATAGAGAAGTAGTAGGAGAGAGGAGATGGAAGGGAGTGGGGAGGAGGGGAGAGGAGATGAGAGAAGAGGAAAGTAGGTGACAGGAGAGGAGAGGAAGCAGAAGGGGAGGAAAAAGGAGGAGAAGAGGAAACAAGAGGAGACAAATTCTGAGTAGAGATATCGAGAGGAGCCCAGTGATGAAATGGGAGAGGAGGAGAGCAGTTTCAAGGCTGTAATTGAAATCTAATTATCACCTCAAGTCCCAGCTGACTCCACGTTAAGCAGCCGCACACATGCACATTTGAGCACCACATATGTGCTGACATGCATACATCTGCACATGCACACTTATGATCATCACATTATTACCACTAACATCTGGCGTCTTCACACACCAATAATCCTCCCTGTCCTGAGAGCAGCATAGACCTCCTTGTACCTCACATACACACACACACACACACACACACACACACACACACAAATACACACAAATACACACATCCCCTCTTGCAACCTCACACACATATTTTTGTAGGCTATATTCAGATGACACACACAAACCCACAAATTTCTAATTACATTATGATGACTGTTCTCACACATGTGCAACGTCATCACTATCACACACCCAACGTCATAGCACAAACACACACATCAATGCAGGCACACACACACACACACACACACAATTGCACCATTTAAGATAGATGGCATCATATCAGATTTAACCTGCACTGTCCTGACCTGGTGAGAACGGTGTGTATCTGCGTGTGTGTGTTTGTGTGTGACAGGAAGCTGGAGGGATACTGACTGGCTTTGCCTGGCCGAGGTCTCTGAAGAAGCCGCTGAGCTGTCAGCAAGTCCTCGGTCTTTACGGCCTGGAGCAGCTCCTGGTCCTTCCCCATGTCCTCTCTGTCCCTCCTCGGTCTGCTCGGTCCCGCTCTCTTCCTCTGAGCGTCCCTCTCTCCTCCGTTAATCCGCTGCTACATCCTGCCGCCGCTCTGGGCCTCCCGCTGGCGCTGAGGCGCGGAGGGATGGATGCTGCCGGGAGTGGGATGCTCCGATTCGGCCAGGAGTGCAGCGCAAGCCCCTCTCTGTCTCCCCTCCACGCGGTCTACCGACCCTCACCGACCGACCGACCGGTCCTTGCGCTCTGTCGGGATGCTCTCCAGCCGCGCAGGAACACACTCGCGATAGAATCCACAGATTCTATCCGCGTGACGATTTCACCGGGTCTAGGCTACGTGCGTGCCGGTGGAGCTCGAGCGCCCTCCTATATGACGGGTCAAATCCGCACGAGCCCTCTTCAATCCGCAGAATAACACGCACGGGTCGCTGATGTTTAACGTGTGACCGCTGTCGCCGCGGCGGTGCTGGACCAGCTCGCGCCAGCTCCAGCGCGCGCGCGCGCGCGCACACACACACACACACACACACACACACACTCCCAGTCACATATGGCATTACATAAACACGAGCTACTTGTGCGCGCCACTCCAGTTGTTGTAATCGCAGTCCGCGTGTTTGCGCGTGTGCGTGCGGACAAGTCAAGAGAGGTCGTTTGACATCGCAATAATAATGTACTCAGTCGCGTGCAAGAGGTGCACTCTAAGCGCGGGACAGTGGGAGGCAGAGTCCGGGATCGCGCGGACCCATGAGACACTCAGTCACTCAGTATGGATAGATGATAAATAGGCCTGAATGATAGGCTACACTGCCTTTCATCAAACCTGCATTATTCATTCATGTATTGAACTATAGTTGGCCTATACTGCACCCTAATTTTTATTCTCCCTTTCATTTTGTTTTATTCAAATTATTTTTTAGATCATTTTAAATTTGTTTTTATATTAACCTACTATATATTTAATGACCCTTTTTATGGAGGACAAACCATTTTAATTACTTTGTTGTTAAAAGGTTCTATACAAATAAACTGGTCTTGCCTCAATATGTGTCACAGTGGTGATGGTTTTACATCAACATCTTTAAGGTTAATGAGACAAAGATAATTTGAGGGAAGGAAACGTGTGTATGTGTGTGTCCCTGGTGCAGGGCTAATTTAGAATAAAGGGGCCACTGCCAGTCAGATTTAGGACAGGAAGTGGAACACATGACAGAAGACTGGTAGGCTACTTGATAAAACTAGAAGAGTGCACTCAGTAGAGCGCATTTCTCCACCAGGTGTGTCTGGAGGCATGTGGGTGGAACAGGGAGTCCAGGGCACGATGTGTGTCCAGCATGTAGGCCTATGAGAATAGTGTAATGAAACGTTCTCTGTATAGTAGGCCTTTAGTGTAAGTTTTCTTGTATAGATGCATGCAACATTTTTAACAAAGTATTTTTGTGTTTTCTTTAAGATGCATAGAATTGTGTAATGGTATTGTAACTGAGCATCATTGGTTTGCCAAACTGTATAAACTTAATAAGGAAACAATAAACGTGACAACAAGTCTAAACTTATAAATTTAAACTTTGTTATTTATTTAGTACACACCACACAAAATGAAACAGTTTTGAACCACGACATAGGGCAAAATATTTACTGCAAATAGATAAACCTTGCTTTTAGCCTAGCCGATTGCCGGAAATGCCTTTTGCTATATTGTAATGCATATGATATAATGGCATAATACTGCTCAAAACACAAAAGTCAAGGCTCTATCAATAAAATAGTTTTTCAAAAACTGTGAATCACTGCAACCATGACAGTTCCTTGAGCATACAGTCATAAATGTGCACAAAAAGATTAGCTGGTGGGTCCAGTAGTATGGCAGATTAGGCTACACACACAAACACACACACACACACACACCCACATGCCTATGCCTGGCGAAGATAAAAATCAAAACTGTGTGAATGTTCATGCTTAACCTGGCAATTTAAATTTTGACCTGAAGATGGTGCTAGAGATAACCTTAAGGGACCACCAAGTCTAAGTTAATTCATCCTATGGCAGACGTGAATGTCATGACATTTCTTGTCATGATGTTTCAGTCTGGACCAAAGTGGTGGACTGACAGACCGACACAGCCATAGAGCCATGCCAATAGCATGGCTAAAAATTAAAAGACACTTTTATTACCTGAAAGTATTTTCTACACAACCAGGGGTTTTTGGGATACCTGAGAGCCTGGGGCCTCAGGGCAGTTGCCCACTTTGCTTGGTCAGTATTCAGCCTAGGGTTCACATACATTCAATTAAAATACACTAGGCAAAAGATTTTCATTTATTCAACATGGACAAAGTTTTGCAAAGCATCCCACTTACACAGGTAAGATTGTTTGTTCTTCCACAGGACTAAAGATACTAAGTACACGTGTAAAATGTTTTCAAGTGTTGATGAATAATTAAACTGCATTAATCAATACTGTTATATTACAACAGAATTACATTACCACAGGTCATTTGAAACCATTATTTTATTTAATCACCAACTCTACCACAGGTCATTTGAAACCATTATTTTATTTAATCACCAACTCTACTGCTCTGTGGAACTTTCTGAGCCTCTTTTAGGTGTTTGTTTTTACAGCATTTACAGTATAATTGAGTTTTAGCTGCTCTCATCAATCCCTTCCGTTGCAGCCAGGCAGGGAGAAGATAAAGTTACCTATAGTAGCTACTCTCTAGCTGGAAAGAAAGTTATACATCCAGCAACGATGCATTAGAGAAATATTTTAGGAGTTGATGGAGACCAACACTACAGTACCTTCGTTCAAATCAGGCAGCTAATTTTACATTTACGGACGTTAAAAACTGATATGTATCATGGTGGCAGTGGTGCATCAGTTATACAGGATTTGTTGAAAATAATAAAAATAAAAATAATAATAACAACAATAATAAATGTGGGTTTCCGTTGTTATTAATTAAAAAATGATAACACATGCTCTTTTGATGTGTGGAAATATTCCTTGAACAACTTGCAGATCAAATACTCAAGCTGTATTTGTGTTATTGTAAATAACATAACACAATTACTGATAATTTTTTTTACTCATAATATTACAAACAACATATTAATCCAGCAACAGGTGCTCTGTCCACACGTGTTTCTATATAGAACAAGGGTACGTACGAACATAGTCTTTAACTTGAGTACTGAGTCCAGGCAAGGTGCTCATGTTTTCTGCTCCATATGTGCGTATAAGAGCCCTCCTGCAAATCTGCTTCAGGCACTCCGGACGCTGCTTGCGATAGGGTGCTGTCAACTTACAGGATGAGCCAGTGTAATATGTGAGCAGAGCAAAGAGTGAAGCAAAAGTCCTGTGGCTGCCATAGAGACTGAAGAGCAGGTTGTTCAGCTGGATACGAACACTAGTCGGCCCATCATCGCTTTGGTAACTCAGAGTGAAGAAAACATCCGGCTGGCCGCTGTCTCTGCAACAACACAGCAGCATACTGTTACTTTTAGTACATTTAAAGGCATAGTAAGTGATTGTAGTCCAATACATATTTTTGTTAAATTCAGTGAATATTTCCTCATGGTTTGCTAGCTCTCCGTTTTGTGTGTGCTCTGAAAAAAAATCTGGTTTTCCTACACAGGCCTGGCTCTGCAAATGGAAAACAAAGAAAGTAGGGCTGGGCGATATTCATCAAAAATAAATGTAAAAAATTCATATCAGTCAATATCACAATATATAGTGATATACTGACATAATTATCACAATAAATGTCAAATAATTATTTTAAGTTTAAGTTTTAAGTTTGAAAGCTGATTTGTGATCCTGAGTTGAAGAAACCAGATGGTTAATTGTGATTAAACCAGTCTTTATAGTCAGGACATGACAAACACTTGATGCTAAACAGGGGATAACTTAACAAATCTGAGGTAGAACATTCAAAATTATTATAATAAAATCTTTTTTCAACAACTATGCATGAATAAAATCAAGTAAAATCTGATAATTATCATTATTGTTTTATTGCCCAGACCTAAAAGAAATTTTAGGTCTGGGCAAAATTTGTTCAAGCCAATCAACAATAGGTGGCGTTAGTGCTTGTGCACAGGAGGCGAACGGTATCACCATATGGCATATAATTAACACTTCAATTTTTTAAGTCATTTCATGTGGTATTCCAAAGCATTCTTGCTTTTCAAATGTTATTTCACACCATTTAGTCTCTATTGACTTATGTTGTGCAGAAACGGTGTGCCATTTCACGCCAACTGTCACAGGGAAAAGACCAGGTGGGGATATAAATAACCAGAAAGGTCCAAGTAAAAAGGCGGGTGTTGTGGATGGAAGGCCGTTAAACCACACTTTTACACAACAGACCTTAGGGGGTTTTTGCTTCTGAGTGGAAGTTGAAGAAACCTGATGGTTAATTGTGGTTTAAACTCTTCTTTATGGTCAACACTTGAGGCCAAACAGTGGATCACGTCACATATCCAAGGTAGAACATTTAAAACAATTAATCAAATATGAGTGTAGAATTAAGTAAAAGCTTATTCAGTCTTTTTCCTCAACAAATAAAGATCTTAATAAAAAAATTAAGTCCTAATTTGTTTGTGATTCAAGTGTATAAAATCAAACATTTATTGAATATTTATTTAACAATTGTTATATTGTTATAGAAAAAAATTATATTGCGATAATTATTGTTATTGTTTTATTGTCCAGCCCTAAAAGACCTGTGTTCGGTTCCCGTGCAACACAAAAAGTTACATAAGCTAAGTGATATTTTTTACTTTAGCTACAATAGCTATATCGCATTGCTTTTTAGCCACATAGCGTTATCTCCACTTTGGATAGCTAACGTACCTAATGTTAGCGACATGCTACTACGTAGCTAATACTATAAAACTTACGTTAGCTATGTTAGCTAGCCAAAGTGTGAGTAGCTAGCTATCTAACTAGTGTTAAAGGCATTGACAGCCTCATAAAAGCCCCTTACCTTACCATAACCGTCAGAGGGGTTTGTGCCTAAACCTAAGTTAGTAAATGTATGCATGTCGACCAGTTAACCCTTTGTGTTGCTGCGGTCTATGGGGGCAAAACTAAGAAGGTGCAGTGGGAGAGAGAGTACTTTACACCGGCACATTTGAACGTGATGGACTCCAGGCACTGTGAAGAGGGAGAAATGGCTGAGAAACAGTCAAAGAGGAAAAGGGCTGAAGAGTATAAACAGAGAAGAAAGTTACATGACAAGGTATGGGCAAAAAATTTGGGAAGGAGCACTAAAGGGAGGGGTGTATTTGTATTTGTTATCAACAATCCTTCTGCAGAATCATACTCTCCCTTTAATGTGGAGTGAATAGGTGGGGATCTACTTGTTAAAGGGAGACCTGGGCAAGAGAACAGCATAAGATGTTGCAGTTGAAACAACACTACAGCTTTCAAGCAAAAGTGGCAGATTACCTGATCAGAAAGGTGCCCAGTGGTGCCTGTGTGAGTATTTCGTGTGCTTCCTCCATGGTCATTGATCCCCAGTAGTAACCACTGTGTTGGAGCTGCTGGTAAGTGTGTTTCACTAGCTTATACTCTGCCGCGCAGCTGAATGGACGGAGGTGTGTGGGCAAGCTCTCAGCATCAGCTCCAGTCAATGACTACAGCAGAGAAGGTATTAGAAATAATCAGTCAACATGTACAGACAACACAGTGTCATACCTGACTTGAACTATGTGACATATCAAACTGCTCTGAGGCGCTTCATGTTTTTATTGCAGTCAGACACAGCATTTGATTGTCCTCCTGAATCCAGAGAATTTTCTTAAAGAGCTCTTAATCTACATGAATAAAGTGATTTATGGTCTTTTTAGGCCTGGGTTTCGCCTCTCAGGTTGCATTCAGGCTACCCTGTTGGTGAAGGCTGCTTGGGATTTGCAGTCAGAAAGGCAGAAAACAACTCTTTTGTCCTGAGATAGCAAGATAATTAACTCACAATCTCAAGATAACAGGATTATAAACAAAATTGCAACCACTTGGCTTCATTCAAAACAGAGTAAAGGAAGAGGGAATTTTAAACTTTCATTCATAATGTGGCCAGAAACAAAAAGCTGGTGATCAGTCAGGTTTTTTTTGCCCCTTAGTTGCAAAACATCTACAGTACAGTAGCTTTCAAGAATAACAAGTTAGTTTGTATGGATGTTACAAACTGATATTTGGTGCAGCAGTTACACAGTTGTTCTGTATACGCAGATTTTCTCTCTCTTTCTGTCCCTCTCTCTCCTACTTTATGTTTTGATTGGTGGGAATACTTGTGTGTTTTGTCACTTATTTGCTCTGTCTTCCTTATGAATCATGTTTGAGTGTCTACTCAGATTTGGGTTTGATGAATTATGTACTTGACCTTGACAAATATGGATAACTGTAAAGGTTTAAAGATTGTACATGTCAACATTAGGAGCCTGCTTCCAAAATAGACATATTCAGAGCTTGGGTAGAGGATCAGAAGCCCAACATAATTACACTGTCTGAAACATTGTTAACCAAATCAATGTCTGATCAAGAAATAACATTACCAAATTATGTTCTATTTAGAAAAGATAGAGGTACCAGAGGTGGAGGAGTTGCTGTTTATGTTGCTGATACTTTGCTCAAACTCAATTAATTGTATCATAGACACTATATATTCTATTGAATGGTCAAATGAACAAAAACTGATTGGATTATACCTCCTCAAAAGAAACTGGCATACTATCTGACTGTTTTAGTGACCATTGTGCAATTTACTGTATATGGAAAATTAAAATGCTAAAATTACCTCCTAAATTAATAAAAAGTAGTGCAAAAATATTAATATGGACTCTTTTATTAAGTATATAATTGGTTTGAATTGGTAAAGATTTCAATTAATACAGACAGTGCAGGACGCTCTGCGTTTGGCAGATGTTTTTTAGCACCAAAACACTCAGACCTGTGAGTTGTGATCAAGTTTCTGCTAATATGACCGTTATTACTTAGCTGCAAACCAAAGATTACAGATCGCTGGCGCTATATTCTTTGATTAGACTGACAGGACAGCTGATTCAGTGGTTGCCTAGCGCCATTAAAAATTTGCTCTTTTCCAAATGCAGCCTAAAAAGGCGCTGCTGTGTGCCTCGTGTTTTTCGAACCTGCAAAGGCTGTCTGATCGGGGCCTGATTCTTATTTGTCGTTTTATAGCGATTGGCATTACCGCCACCTGCTGGATTAAACAGTGCAAAATATTTACAGTGTCCACCCAAAGTGATTCCATTCACAACTGTAGTCCGTCTAGTTATTTTTAAGTTATTTTCTTTCTGTTTTTGTGTCTATAGCAGCATTCTCGCGATCCCCCTGGGACTAGGTCTCCCAGGGGGGTCCCGACCCCCAGGTTAAGAACCACTGCTCTAGAAGACCTATTTAACCTTTCTTTGTCTACTAGTGAGATACCATATGTTCGGTAATTTGCTAAAGTGATTCCCTTACGTAAAGGCTGCAATTCTCTTGACCTTAATAATTAAAGACCCATATCTATCATCTGTACAATTGCTTTTTGAAAAACTAATATATATTCAACTATTCAATTATCTTACAGAACAGCCATATTGAAAATGACTAATGACATATCCTCTTCCGCTGACCAAGGCAAATTAACAGGTGCAGTTTTTATTGACTTATCCAGGGCTTTTGACTTGGTAGATCATCATATATTACCGCAAAAATTAGAAACCACTGGACTAACTCAGAATGCACTGGCTTGGATCCATGCATATCTTGGTGATTAGATAGATAGATAGATAGATAGATAGATAGATAGATAGATAGATAGATAGATAGATAGATAGATAGTGTTTAGTGCCCCCTTCTCCTTTCTATTTTTATTAATTAACTCCCATCATTATGTAAAACTCCGAATATCTATTTATATGCAGATGTTACAGTAATCAATTTTTCTAGTGCAAATTAATTACAGATCACTGCTTCTTTACAGTCCGATGGTGCACTACTCACTAAGGTTGATTGTGTTAAATATCTGGGGCTATGGACTGACTCTGAATTATCATATAAAAAGCATATTGATTATAAATATAACAAGATTGGCTGTTTTATTGGGATTTTGTACAGATCAAAGAACTGTTTCACCATGACTGTAAAAAAAGAGGCTATTATTGCCTATAATCGATTATGGAGACATTGTGTAAAAAAAAGTTGATGTTAAGTGTAATGTACAATCAACTGCAGTGGCTTTCTCTCGATAATAGACGGCAGTTACACTGGTACCAGTTTCTTTACAAATTAATTCATTTTAAATATCCTATTTATTTACAAGAGTTTTTCATTCTGCATAATTCTAATCCTATTTACTCTCAGAAGCAATAACTACACTTTAAATAAGAAAAAAAGGCATTTAGTGTCAAGGCTCCTAGAGACTTGAACAATCTGCCAACTTTCATAACATCTCTGCGGTATCTAGGTTCATTTAAAAAAGCTCTTATTACCTTATAACAGAGTGCTACTGTTATCCTTAATTATTGTTACTTAGTGTTATACTGTACTGTTTTACTAGTAGTATTGGTGTCTAGATTTTGTGGCATGTGCAAAATTGGTGAAGGTTACTGGGGGTCTATGCAGCCTGAAAAGAATATCTGCAGACACTACTCTCGGCTGAAAAGGGTATAAAAACTAAAATCTTAGAACTTGTGACAAATGTCTTTCATCAGTTCTTTAGTAATAAGAAAAAAGTACAATTGGGAAACTGCAAGAACTTGAATCCATTTCTGAATACACTCAACTGTACCTCAGAGACTTATTTCAAATAACAACTGAAAACTAATCTTTAAAAATTTTAAACGGTAGTCCACAAACCACTGGTTGACCTCATGGTGGCTAAGTCAACTTCTTTTATACATTCTATGGATTCACCAGGGGAATTAGGCTGAAAAGTTTCCATGCCAACATTTAAAGTCAATGGTCACCGGGTCATACCACTGAAAAGCTTGATGGCTTTGTCCCAAAATAAGGTTTTTGGCTACTATGCAGTTACAAGGTTTCACGACACAACTTAATTTACGGCTCAGTATATACCATATACATTTAGAGAAGGCATTTTCCAACACATATTGCATGTACTGGCGCCTTTTCACACAGCATTTTGGCGGACATGTAGTGCATCTGATCTGGTCTCACACCTGCTCCTATCTGCCACTACAACATTTGAAACACAAACCTCAACTGCACACTTACGTCTATGTAACCACATGATTGGCTTAATGTGTGTCCCAGCCCAGCTGTTAAAAAGTGAAGATTGACTTTCTTGTGGGAGGGGCGGTGTATAACTGATAAGATAAGATCTTATCAGTTATACACTGGCATTTCACTGCATGAGAAAATTCATGTGTGGCTTGACAGTGTGAAAAATGTCATTTGCGCAAGTCTCGCAAGACCTAACGAGAATTCTCATCACACTTTAATCTAGGGAGATCTCATCACATCCCTATTTATATATATATATATATATACACACACACACACACACACATATATGTAAATCACAGTGAGCAAACATTGAGTACTAACCTGGTGCCAGGTTTCAGGTTCCTCCTCGAAGTTTAATTTGCTCCAGTGCAGTAAATCTAGTTGCCTCTCTGTTGGCTCTTGGCTCTCTGGATTAACTCTCTTTTGGCTTTGTGCTTGTTCGTGTCTTGCAGGCTCTTCAGATGACTGACTTTGGCTCTGTGTCTCAGCTGTGCGGCTCTGTCTTTGGCTCTGTACTACTGTTTTATTAAGATTGTCTCTGACCATCCTACAAAGAAGAATCCTCTTCTTGACCACCGGTTGCACCAGTTCCTCCACTTATCTCTGACAGATCCTCCATCACTGACTCCTGTCTGGTCGGTCATCTGCTGCTCAGTCCACTTTGAGACTCCATGTCGCTTAAGCAGCAGCTTGAGATTTTAATAAAGATTTAACAACATTACGACAATGTGCTGGAGGGACGCAGAGGCTGTATCTGCTCTGTCATCTGTCCTTTGTACTTGAGGGATTGTCACTGAAATGTCTGGTGAGCTGAAACACAAAAAGGTGAAAATCACAGTCAAAATGTTTTATGCCACTGCACTGCATCTTAAATCTCCCATAACTGCTGTTTTTGGCCACTTGGGCTTTTGCACATTTTGAAGAAAATCTGCAATGAATGTGCTTTTCCATCCATCATCTACCATTAATTTGTCAAGATGAACAGTTGGTGGCACTAATTCTCAAGTTGGGTGCCATTAAACCACTGCAGCAGAAGAGGGTGCAACAAGATGACGTAATTAAAGGAACACCAGTCAAACCCATAGAAAAGAAGTGGATGTAGCCATCGTAAAGTCATCCATTGGTTTGGAGACTATTGTTCTGAAGTTCAGAGTTTGGCATTTTGGCCGTCGCCATCTTGTTTTTTTGGAACCAGAAGAGACCATATTCGGACGAGAGGGTGGAGCTAGCTAGCTTGGTTAATTAGGCATCTGAAATTCACATTAACTGTGATATTAATTGTGATGCTAATGAATGCTGAACTGGGATGCTAAAAAAATGGAAAATTTGGGCACCCAACAGCACCCAAAAACAAGTTCACGGCTGGTTAAATTTACACAGTGCAAAGGATACAATCCTCCGCTATCCTGATTGACAGGTTGCTGTGGTAGCAACTCGTCACAAGGTAGCCACGGTATTTAGCATACCCTGCTTAATAATCTATTTTCCTCTTAATGGGGCCATAATTTACGAAATGAACATCATGCTATAGACAGAAGAAGACTTGAAGCTAGTGACTGAAACCATAAACTCATTAGGAAAGTGTCACTGAGGTTATAAAACAAGTAAGAAGTAGGCTAATTTTTATATAGACTTCTATACAATCTGACTTTTTTTTGGAACCAACCTGAAGTCGCCCCCTGCTGGCTATTAGAAAGAAGGCAGGTTTAAGGCACTTCCACATTGGCTTCAGTTTTTAGACCCAGAAATTTATGCTTGGTCAAACCTCAGACTGTTAAACTCATAGTAGAAAACACCCTCACACACTCCCAGTGGGAGGGACTAAGACGCGAGGAAAAGACTTAGTTGAGGGAAACATGGATGCAAATAAGAGACTTGGGATGTAGCCTTTAAGCGGCACCATTCACATTGTCACATTGTTATGTCATTTGATTCATTGTTATTATAAGACTATCAATTATATCTTTAACTTTACTATACATCACATCTGATCCAGTCTCTCTCTCTTTCTCTGTGTGTACATGCATGCCTGAGAGGCAGAATCAGAGGTCATGTGGCTGACAGTAAACCACATTTGTTTATCATCCATCACTGTTATAGGCGGACTTAACGTCGTTAATGACAGATAAATGCTTTCACTTTCTCAGTCAAGCGAGGAACCAAAAGAAAAAAACATCTGTGGATTTCTTCCGCTGTAGTTCTTATTAGTTTGTATATTGTATATACTGTATAACATGTTAGTATATACATGCTGTACACACTTAAGTTTACTTACACAAAGTGCCTCGAAATAAAAGACAAAAGTGACAACCTTAAAAGTACAAACACATAACAAGACGGTCTTAATAATTCTTAAGATACATTATACATAGTATAACTATATAAGGATACATATGGTAATACTTTTGTTTGCTGTCTCCTTTTCTGTTTTAAAGCACTTTTGTTTAGAAAAGGTTCTGTATTTCAATCAGTTTTTCTTTTTTTTGACACTTTATTTTTATGTTTTTCTTCACCTCTTTGCTTTAACATTTTAGTGTAGCTTCACCAAACATTTTACTTTTCAAATCTCAGCCCAGATCATATAAAGGTGTTTGATTACCCATTTCCCACAGAGGCAGGCTGTGTCAAACTGTTATTAGATTATGGTCTGTTGTACATAACTCCAGGATCTTTCACAATATTACACCGTGCAGTCTTTCACAACATTTTCTGTTGTTATAGGATGATACTACATTACACAAGAATGTAATGTTTGAATTTGAAATGAAACAATGACTATGAGGTTTAACTTTCAGTTTGAAGGATTTCAGTCCATGTTGGGTTAACAGTGCAGCTTTGGAGGCTACACTTTCTTACAGCTGGAAGTGCAGCAGGGCAGGGCTATGATCCCTGTACTGTTGACCCAAAGTGGATGTTAACACCCTGAAATTAAAGTTGAAAGTCAGCACTTTAACTCTCATTGCAACTGTTTTACTTGAGCTCCAATATGCTGAAGTTCAGAAATATCTTAACAAAAATGTCCAAATATTAAAGCACAGCAAAATATTATTAAATTAGACAAACATACAAATTAATCTATCATATCATTAGTGATGCGTATTTTACTATTTGTAAAAAAACATTTAGACGAAATGGAATTTTAACACGGTGATATTTTATGCTAATGACACCGGGATTGTTTAATCTAATAAATATGAGTTGGTGACTGGGATGGGTTGTCCACGCTTGAGGGAAATCCAAATATGTTCATTTAATTGTTTTTTAATGGCCCAGTAGGCTACTAGTAAAGTTACACAGAGCGTCCGATTCATTTGCGTGTTCATGTATTGCAGTTTTGTAAGCTAAGTTTACATCAATTAAAGGAGTAACGTGTCATTTCTGTCTGGCACGCAGCTGAATTACGTGTATGTATGAATTAAACACAAAGCTCACTTACGTGCAATTGCGGACAGATCAGAGGCGTCCACACAGCAGTGAGCAGCTTTCAGCTTCTTTCGAGGCGAAGGTAGCGACTCTTCTTGAGAAAAAACTCATAACCTACTTTCGGTTCAAGTTTGTAGCCTCCTGTGTTGGAGGCGGACCCGCCGTTTCAAAAAACTTGATCATATGATTGCATTTAACCATAGAAAACACAATAGCCTCATTATCAGCGGTTCTCCAATGAGGGATTCATATACCGCACACGCACTGCTTACACACGCACACAATTAAAAATTTTTTTTTCAGGTGTCATAGGCTATGCTTTCGCTTTCTCTTGGGCTCCAAATTCCCTTAAATCACGTGATGTGCCAGCAGTGTGCGCATGTTGGTGTGTGCGTGTGTGTGTGTAGACTATTTACTTTATATAGTAATAGCACTTTCATGGTTTACAAATAACCACACAGATAGCGCAACATGCATTCAATGTTCAAGATTAAATTACTTTTATAAACGTTTAACTCAATTAGTCTTATCTCAATTAGGGAAATATGCAAAGCACTCATTCCTGTCAAAATGAATGTGAAACATTAAATGATGGGAACATCAACCAGTATATGAAGCATTATGGATCATAATGCTCTTAGTGAGGGGGTGAAAATGCTGCACACTACTACTAAACCTATGTAACAAGAAATTAAGCAATTTCTTTATAAGTTGAGTCCTGAACACAAGAAAGAAGTTGAATACTTTTGCATATAGCTTATACACTATTTACATAGGCCTATTTATATATTTTAGCTCTTTCATAGTATAAAGATGGACAAATAATTACAGTTAAATTCAAGAAATACAATGTGAGATTTTACTACATTGCATGTAGTAAAATCATGCATGCGTGCACACACACACACACACACACACACACACACACACACACACACACACACACACACACACACACACACACTCTCTCTGATGAAATGGAAACCAGTGTGACTTCTCATAATATTAATGAATAATGATCAGACAACCTAAAGCATTTTACATAGCATTTATTCCCTCACACTCTAGAGATGGATATTATCATGTTATCCACGAAGGTCGTTGAATAACTATGACCTGGGTGACTGAGAACCTTTACAGACATAGTATCATGTTGTTTCCTTCTGTTTTCTTTTTTCTGTGAGAGGTCGATCTTTCAGGCCGCAGAGCTGGACAGCTGGTGTTCTTTTTTGTTATGCCTGTGCATCAAGTAGGCAGATGCTGTTACAACCAAGATCCCGTAAGTAACCAAGACACACTGTAAAAAAGACACATTTCTGACTGAGGGCACTTATGCAAAAAAAAAAAAACGTATACATGTTCATATCTAATGGAGCCTGTGAGTGTATATGTGTATATTATGTACATTTCGCCGGCCCTGCATGGTGTAGCTATTAAAGTATTTCCTCCAACCAGTCAGTTCCACAGAAGTTGGGGCAGTGATGCCAAACAGCTGCCTCTGAAACACACACACAAAAAAACAGTGCAGTGGAGGAAGGAGTGCAGTGAGACTGCCTCATAATTTTACACATTTTGTCATGAGATTAAAGTTATATTAAAATGTAGTTTTTAGGATATTATAGACAAAGTTGTGCAGTATATAAACAACATTTCATTGCAAGTAAACAATTTTGAAAAAGATAAAACAAGTAGTAGAAAAAAATAGTAATAATATTAAAAAAAATCAACCTCAAGTGAAAATGAAAGAAAAAACAGTTAACCCCAAAACCATAAGCAACATCACTGTGGCTCCGGAGGTAGAGCGGGTCGGTAATTAATTGCAGCGGTGGCGATTTCATTGAGCAAGAAAATGAACCCCAAGTTATCCCCGATGGGCAGGCAAGTGCCTTGCATGTGAATGCGTGTAAAGTGCTTTGTCTGATAAGGCAGTACAGAGCTATCTAATTGCAGTCTACTTAACCTACCATTTATCCTGCACCCAACCCATATCAAATTGTCTGAGAGCTATGCAAAATCAAAATGAATGTGAAACATTAAATGACGAGAACATGTATTCAGTACATGAAGCATTATGTATCAATAACTTGGCTCCAGAGAGCCTCATTAGCTGCTCTCTGCTTTTTTAGAGGGGAGATAGAAAAGCTGCACACAACCACTCAACACAAACTAAATTTGAAAACTTTGTGACAGGAAATTGACAATTTCTTTGAACATGTCAGTGACAGTTGCGGCCAAAACACAAACAAGAAGCTGAATACTTGAATATTCAAATGGGCAGTTTGTTGACTGAACTGGGATGGCAAACTGATTGATGGTCATGCGATTCACATTCAACACATCAGTTGAATTAGATTAAACTGAATTATTCATTGGAACTCCAGTTTATCATCTGGACTTGCTGGCAGCACAGAGCTCGTACACCACACTCTCTTTGCCACAAGAGTTGGGCTGTGATAAAAGCTTAAAGCTATAATTCCCTTGGCTGTTTGGCAGTTTTTATTTTAATGCATATGATCAGATTATTAACAAAATCTCTCAATTCTCAAATGTTAGCCTAGCTGTCACAAAAATACAAGAAAGCAAGCATTTGCCATTTCCTGACAGGATATTTTATGATGCTGAACACATTATATTCACGTCACCAAAAAATGATGGTTGTGTTGTGTTAAAGGCTTATGCCTTTTTCAGGCTAGCTTGGTCCAACATGAGGCTGTTAAAGAATTAGTTTTGGGAAATACACTTAATCACTTTCTTGCAGCGAGTTATATGAGAAGATCAATATCAATCATGTAAGTGCAGTAAATTTACAGCTAACACCAGGGGACTGTTAGCTTAGCATAGCCTAATGATTGGATCAGGGAAACAGCTACCTTGGTTCTGTCCAACAACAAAAACAATCTGTCTTCCAGCACCTCTAAAGCTCATTAATGAAGATGTTAAACTTTGCTTACCTGCATTAAAAATCTAAGCGTGGAATGAGCCAAACTATTTCTTATTATTTAACATGCTATATCCTAGCTGTTACCCCTGCTTATTTTAAGTATTACTACTTTCTGGAACAGGCCCATGGCTAGCTAGTGCCTCCATCACTCGCTCTCTTTCGTTATGTGTGGGTGGGCATGTTTATGTTGATGGGTGGGCATTTTTTATATATGTATTTTAATATGTATTCATGTTCATTTAATTGTATAAAATGTGTTATATAAATACATTATTTATTCCTCAATTTTTGTAATTCATTAGCTGTTCATGTTGTAGCCTATATATTTTATTATTATTATTATTATTATTATTATTATTATTATTTATTCCTCAATTTTTGTAATTCATTAGCTGTTCATGTTGTAGCCTATATACTGTATATATCATATCCACCTACCTATTTTGTTGTCTTTGTTTATGGTGTGTGTATGTGTGTACTTTACACTGTAGTCTGTATAATTTTTTACTGAGATTTTTTGTTTATGCTTGTTCTGTGTCTGTACATCAAGAGCAATGTAAGACCGACGTCAAATTCCTCCTTGCCATTAAACTGATTCTGATGCTGATTTGACTTGACTTGCTTGTCTCCTGACTCTTGCACTATACTTGTACAGGGTGTGGGATCAGTCGTTTCATTTACATTTCTGCAATAAAGTGAAAAAGTGTGTTTCCCAACATGTGATGTGCTGTGTGTATGTAAATTTCTAATTTAATTTAATTTCTAAAAATGGAAAAGAGAAAAGGTCTTACCACACATTTTAAAATGCATGTAGTTGGACTCTTGTTTGTCTTCTTATAATGTCTCTTTTAATTCAAATGCATTAATGTAATTAGAGTCATGGTGCAATTTGCCCTTGTTTTCTGTAAGTCTGATTCTCCAGGTGAACACCAACAGTCATGGCCTGCATATTACATAATGCACTACTTCTTTCAGGAAACTGTTGCAATTACATATGCTGTAGTGTGTGTATTTTTTTGCATTGGAACAACACAAAAAAGCAGAGAGAAAAAGCAACCTCTGTACTAGAAATTTAGACCACTCTTCTTTGCTAACTGCTCCAGGTCTTTGAGATTTGATGGGTTCCTACTCCCAACAGCTGTTTTCAGACTCTCCACATGTGCTCTATGGGATTTAGATCTGGACTTCAGAACTCTCCAGTGCTTTGTCTTAGTTTTGGGTGCTTTTTGAAGTATGCTTGGGGTCATTGTCCTGCTGTAAGACCCATGACCTCTGACCCAGAGTCCCAGTTTTCTGAAACTGGCCCTAGAATTCTATGGTAGTCTTCAGATTTCATATTACCATGCACAGTCAAGACATGCAGGTCTTAAAGCAGCAAAGCAACCTCTAAACATCAGTGAACCTCCACTATATTTTGACTGCGTTCTTTTCTTTGAAGGCCTCATTTCATTTTCTGAAAACAGAAGAATGATGTGCTTTACCAAAAAGCTCTATTTTAGTCTCATCTGTCCACAGGACATTCTCCCCGAAAGGATTTTGGCATTTTCCTCAGGTAAGTTTAAGCAAACTCCAATCTGGCTTTTTTATGTTTCTGTGTCAGCAGCGGGGTCCTCCAGAGTCCTCCCTTTTACTTCAGATGGCGACAGATAATGTGAGCGGATACTGTTATACCCTGTGTCTGCAGGTCAGCCTGAATTTGTTTGGAAGTTGATCCAGGTTCTTCTTCCACTATTAGAAAACTCCTTTTTTTTTCATTTTTTCTCTTTCGCCCACATCCAGGGAGATAAGCTACAGTGCCATGGGCTCTAAACTTCTTCTCAATGTTGCGCACAGTGGATACAGGAACATTAAAATCTTTCCCATGCTTTTCCAAAATTTAGGTTCTCAAATCCTCGAATCTATTATGGGTCTCTTACGTATGTAACCCTTGTTCCCTGAGAAGGGGAATGAGACACTGCGTCGGTGACGACACTATGAGAACGCCTCTAGCCCTTAGCCGGGCTGAATTATGAATGAAACTACTCCATTCCTATTGTCTTTGCTTGAACGATAGCGTGGGACGGCGTAACTGGAGGCGTATAAAGCACGCCAGCACACAGGACAAAACAGCTTTTTTCTATTCAGCAGGCGCTGAACAGACATGCAGGGGTGACCATATTTTTGACCATGACTGTAGGTGTTCACCTGGAGCAGCAGATTTTCAGCACACAAGGGCAGAATACAATGATTTATGAGAAAAGAGAAATAATTATCAACATAAGACTTGCATGACGTATGCCAGGGGCGACAGCAGAGTGCTGACGAGGCTGCTCAGTTTAGTAATGCTGATTTATTCTGCAACAAATATTAGCAGAGTAAAGAGGGAATGTTTTTATTCTCATGCCCAAT